TCTCATGTTGTTGGTATAATGGTTGGCAAATGGACAAGACACAATGGGGTGTGGAGATGATGGTGACTCGGATGAGACATTGAAATTGGGACAATGTCATTGGCAATTCATTTTGAACTATGAAGCTGTCTGAGGAAGATAATGAAGGGACGCCAGAAGATTTAAGTGCCGAGGAAGGAAAGGGGTTGGTCAGCTGTGTTGATTATACATTTGGATTTATCTAAATTTGCTAATTTGGGTAGGATGTATATACACTGCTAAATTAATAGTACTAGGAATGCATTGAGATGACGATCTGTAGTTATTCTCAGGATGAGGAAGGTCATAATAGAATTATGGATATTTATACTGTATGTTTAATAGAAGTGTACATTCTGACAGTTGTAATGGGGTGAAAAAAGTTGAGGGTGTTTAACTTTGATAAGGGCCAAGTGAATCAATAAGAATTGTCATTCTAAATTTGGTTGTGTTAAGTCATTTGGTTTTGGTTATAATTTATAAGATGACTGAGTGATTTAAGTAAATCATTAGTATACAGTGGGGAAAAAAAGTATTTAGTCAGCCACCAATTGTGCAAGTTCTCCCACTTAAAAAGATGAGAGAGGCCTGTAATTTTCATCATAGGTACACGTCAACTATGACAGACAAAATGAGGAAAAAAAATCCAGAAAATCACATTGTAGGATTTTTAATGAATTTATTTGCAAATTATGGTGGAAAATAAGTATTTGGTCAATAACAAAAGTTTCTCAATACTTTGTTATATACCCTTTGTTGGCAATGACACAGGTCAAACGTTTTCTGTAAGTCTTCACAAGGTTTTCACACACTGTTGCTGGTATTTTGGCCCATTCCTCCATGCAGATCTCCTCTAGAGCAGTGATGTTTTGGGGCTGTCGCTGGGCAACACAGACTTTCAACTCCCTCCAAAGATTTTCTATGGGGTTAAGATCTGGAGACTGGCTAGGCCACTCCAGGACCTTGAAATGCTTCTTACGAAGCCACTCCTTCGTTGCCCGGGCGGTGTGTTTGGGATCATTGTCATGCTGAAAGACCCAGCCACGTTTCATCTTCAATGCCCTTGCTGATGGAAGGAGGTTTTCACTCAAAATCTCACGATACATGGCCCCATTCATTCTTTCCTTTACACGGATCAGTCGTCCTGGTCCCTTTGCAGAAAAACAGCCCCAAAACATGATGTTTCCACCCCCATGCTTCACAGTAGGTATGGTGTTCTTTGGATGCAACTCAGCATTCTTTGTCCTCCAAACACGACGAGTTGAGTTTTTACCAAAAAGTTATATTTTGGTTTCATCTGACCATATGACATTCTCCCAATCCTCTTCTGGATCATCCAAATGCACTCTAGCAAACTTCAGACGGGCCTGGACATGTACTGGCTTAAGCAAGGGGACACGTCTGGCACTGCAGGATTTAAGTCCCTGGCGGCGTAGTGTGTTACTGATGGTAGGCTTTGTTACTTTGGTCCCAGCTCTCTGCAGGTCATTCACTAGGTTCCCCCGTGTGGTTCTGGGATTTTTGCTCACCGTTCTTGTGATAATTTTGACCCCACGGGGTGAGATCTTGCGTGGAGCCCCAGATCGAGGGAGATTATCAGTGGTCTTGTATGTCTTCCATTTCCTAATAATTGCTCCCACAGTTGATTTCTTCAAACCAAGCTGCTTACCTATTGCAGATTCAGTCTTTCCAGCCTGGTGCATGTCTACAATTTTGTTTCTGGTGTCCTTTGACAGCTCTTTGGTCTTGGCCATAGTGGAGTTTGGAATGTGACTGTTTGAGGTTGTGGACAGGTGTCTTTTATACTGATAACAAGCTCAAACAGGTGCCATTAATACAGGTAACGAGTGGAGGACAGAGGAGCCTCTTAAAGAAGAAGTTACAGGTCTGTGAGAGCCAGAAATCTTGCTTGTTTGTAGGTGACCAAATACTTATTTTCCACCATAATTTGCTAATAAATTCATAAAAAATCCTACAATGTGATTTTCTTGATTTTTTTCCCTAATTTTGTCTGTCATAGTTGACGTGTACCTCTGATGAAAATTACAGGCCTCTCTCATCTTTTTAAGTGGGAGAACTTGCACAATTGGTGGTTGACTAAATACTTTTTTTCCCCACTGTAACTATTTTCAGCATGAAGGATATTGCTTGTACAATTGAGCTAAATGTCTTATATATATATTATGGTTAAAACAGCGATACGTTATGGTAATGTCTTAAGATACACTTATATGATTTATTTCGAGTAGACATTTTTTAATCTTACTGTTTGAAACATGTACGTTAATGTGAGGGTTGTGCCTGAAATCATGACCGTATTCACATATTAGTCACTATATACATTTTAAGTATTGGGAGGTATTGATATGGATGTTTAGAGTGGTACATATCTCTGTTGCTCGGCAAGAAGTTAATTGGTTCCTATCATGGGGTTTGGTATTTGTGACGTAGGAATGTTTATGCTATTTCCATTTGATCTGAGCTTTGGTTGAATTCCTCAATCCTAACTAGTCCAAAGCTGTACTGATTTTAACAGGGACTGATACCAGTGTTATCCTGTGTATCTCTCCTCAGGCATATTAGGGGAACAGAGCCAGGGTTGAACAGAGTTGAATATTGTACCTATTAACAGTCTTTGATTTTCAAGCAATTGGGTCTGAAATGTCACTTATTGGACACTATGCAATTGATAATCGCATAGCATTGGATGCTATTACAGTAGATAAAGGGGAAATGTATGCGATTATAGAGGGAGATGCATGTTGTACATGTTGTACATACTTGCCATCAGAATAGGAAGGTTTTGGGAATTTAACTAAAGCTATGGGAAATATTAGAGAAATACAGGATGGGATCAGTGATTACAGCTAGAGATGTATCAGTCAATGTTAATGTGAGGAGGGAGAGCACTAATTCTTCATCTATATCAGCTTATTCAAGTGTAGAGTCCATTGATAATGTTGATTGAGGAATGGGGAATGTTAAGTTGGAAGTGTATAATGTGGAATTTAAAGGTTTACAGGATTGAAGATGTGGAAACAAGACTACATCAGTCGATCAGATAGCGCCCCAAGTGACCAGAGAAAAGCTTGGGGTTCCTCTGAATGAACATGGATGAAGAAGACTGACGTTATTTTTATTGAGATATATTGATTTTAATATATTATAATCTCCATGTAACTTAGAAAGTGTCATGTATCAGTGTATTTTCTTGGATGATGTCATGATGTTAAGAATGTATTTGTTAACGCCACGTGTTAGACAGGTCACTGGTGAGGGACAGAAGGTCTGCGTGCCAAGATAGATTGGGGGCCACTTGTGATAATCTTAGAAGGTGTACGTGATGGAATGGCCTGGCTGGGATGACATACAATACCAAGCATGGGGATGCTATTGTGGTAGATGAGTGACACTCAATGATGGTTGGCAGATAATATCAAGAAGCAGCTCGGAGAGCATTATATAAACTGAGAGATTTTCTATGGAAGTCATTCATATGGCAAGAGGCTACGTCCGTACCGCCTGTCATTGAATTAAATAATGACTGAATCAAATCTCCATCTGTGTCCCATATTCTCTTGCATCCTGAACTTCTCGATACCAGAAACCCATCATAACAGTACTGAAACACTCAACGAACTGTCAATTCAATACAGTACTGAAACACTCAACGAACTGTCAATTCAATACATTACTGAAACACTGTCAACGAACTGCCAATTCAATACAGTACTGAAATTTATCTCAACACAATACTGAAATAGAGAAAGTAGTAACTGGCGTCTTTTAGTAGCAACTGACTCACCATGGTTCGTTGACAAGCTCAGAGAAAATGAAGGCGTTTTTGTAGGGTTTTGTGATAATGCCGAAAAAAGGTATTGTAAAATGGCTTAGGAGATCTAATCATTTGTTCAATGAGATATACTCACACTAAAGTCATTTTGGGGAATTTTGAAGAATGTATGTATATAAAACAAATCACACAAAGGCTTCATAATTCATAAAGGTCATGTTAACTGACTGCTATTAGCTCAGAACAAAACATAAAGGCTTCATAATTCATAAAGGTCATGTTAACTGACTGCTATTAGCTCAGAACAAAACATAAAGGCTTCATAATTCAAAAGGTCATGTTAACTGACTGCTATTAGCTCAGAACAAAACATAAAGGCTTCATAATTCATAAAGGTCATGTTAACTGACTGCTATTAGCTCAGAACAACAAACCATAAAGGCTTCAATAATTCATAAAGGTCATGTTAACTGACTGCTATTAGCTCAGAACAAAACATAAAGGCTTCATAATTCATAAAGGTCATGTTAACTGACTGCTATTATCTCAGAACAAAACATAAAGGCTTCATAATTCATAAAGGTCATGTTAACTGACTGCTATTAGCTCAGAACAAAACATAAAGGCTTCATAATTCATAAAGGTCATGTTAACTGACTGCTATTAGCTCAGAACAAAACATAAAGGCTTCATAATTCAAAAAGGTCATGTTAACTGACTGCTATTAGCTCAGAACAAAACATAAAGGCTTCATAATTCATAAAGGTCATGTTAACTGACTGCTATTAGCTCAGAACAAAACATAAAGGCTTCATAATTCATAAAGGTCATTTTAACTGACTGCTATTAGCTCAGAACAAAACATAAAGGCTTCATAATTCATAAAGGTCATGTTAACTGACTGCTATTATCTCAGAACAAAACATAAAAGCTTCATAATTCATAAAGGTAATGTTAACTGACTGCAATTATCTCAAAGCAAAATGTATAAGATCTCCTAAGCCTATGTTAACCTCAGACCTTATTCCCCATTCATTTTTCCCGGCTGAACAAACCAGAGGTAACTTATTTCTGGGTTTTAGGACCGCAAACTGGCAAGCTCTACACTATCAACAAACTGTCAATTCAATACAGTACTGAAATACTGTCAATGAACTGTTAAGTGGTCTCTCAACTGGTTATCTAAGAGTTAGAGAGTGTCCTGATGAGAGAAAATAGGCACTGGGAGGATGGCATGATGGGAGGGTGGCATGATGGGAGGGTGGCATGATGGGTGGGTGGCATGATGGGAGGGTGGCATGATGGGAGGGTGGCATGATGGGAGCATGATGGGGAGGGTGGGAGGGAGGGTGGCATGATGGGAGGGTGGCATGATGGGAGGGTGGCATGATGGGAGGGTGGCATGATGGGAGGGTGGCATGATGGGAGGGTGGCATGATGGGAGGGTGGCATGATGGGAGGGTGGCATGATGGGAGGGTGGCATGATGGGACGGTGGCATGATGGGAGGGTGGCATGATGGGAGGGTGGCATGATGGGAGGGTGGCATGATGGGAGGGTGGCATGATGGGAGGGTGGCATGATGGGAGGGTGGCATGATGGGAGGGTGGCATGATGGGAGGGTGGCATGATGGGAGGGTGGCATGATGGGAGGGTGGCATGATGGCAGGGTGGCGGCCAAGAGTCTCAGAGGACTTTATACACTGAAGCTCTTTGATGTGGAGGACATAGGATCACACATTCATAGTGAGTCCTAAACCAGGTCCATTAGAAGGTCTATAATATAAGTTTAATTTACAGTACTTGAATAATAATAATAATAATAATAATAATAATAATAATAATAATAATAATAATAATAATAATAATAATAATAATAATGATAATGATAATGATAATAATAATGATAATGATAATAATGCCTGATTGACACTTTGGGACCAAACTGTCCTGGGCTGAGCTGTCCTGGGCTGAGCTGTCCTGGGCTGAGCTGTCCTGGGCTGGTATCTACACATCCACCTGTTCTACAGTGTTTATCAGTCATTAGTATTGGGCTCAGAGAAATGACAGTACCACTGGGCTTCTGTTATGCTTACTCTGAGGTTTAGGCTGGTTATCTGTAAATCAACTTTTTACATTAACAGTTAAGTGATCATATATCCTGATACCTAGTCACCTTACCCCTGTACATATCTAACCCTAACACACCAGTATCCCTGCACATTGTAAATATGGTATTGGCACTGACCCTGGAACTGTCCCTGTATATAGCTACTGACCCTGGAACCGACCCTGTATATAGCTACTGACCCTGCCTGGAACTGTCCCTGTATATAGCTACTGACCCTGGAACTGTCCCTGTATATAGCTACTGACCCTGGAACTGTCCCTGTATATAGCTACTGACCCTGGAACTGTCCCTGTATATAGCTACTGACCCTGGAACTGTCCCTGTATCTGTATATAGCTACTGTCCCTGTATATAGCTACTGACCCTGGAACTGTCCCTGTATCTGTATATAGCTACTGACCCTGGAACTGTCCCTGTATCTGTATATAGCTACTGTCCCTGTATATAGCTACTGACCCTGGAACTGACCCTGTATATAGCTACTGATCCTGGAACCGACCCTGTATATATCTACTGACCCTGGAACCGACCCTGCATATAGCTACTGATCCTGGAACCGACCCTGCATATAGCTACTGACCCTGGAACCGACCCTGTATATATATCTACTGACCCTGGAACCGACCCTGCATATAGCTACTGACCCTGGAACCAACCCTGTATATATATCTACTGACCCTGGAACCGACCCTGTATATAGCTACTGACCCTGGAACCGACCCTGTATATAGCTACGACCTGTATATAGCCTGACCCTGGAACCGACCCTGTATATAGCTACTGACCCTGGAACCGACCCTGATATACTGACTGACCACCTGTATGATACCTGACCCTGTATATAGCTACTGACCCTGGAACCGACCCTGTATATAGCTCTGACCTGAACCGACCTGATATATCTACTGACCCTGGAACCGACCCTGTATATAGCTACTGACCCTGGAACCGACCCTGTATATAGCTACTGATCCTGGAACCGACCCTGCATATAGCTACTGACCCTGGAACCGACCCTGTATATAGCTACTGACCCTGGAACCGACCCTGTATATAGCTACTGACCCTGGAACCGACCCTGACATATAGCTACTGACCCTGGAACCGACCCTGTATATAGCTACTGACCCTGGAACCGACCCTGTATATAGCTACTGATCCTGGAACCGACCCTGATATAGCTACTGACCCTGGAACCGACCCTGTATATAGCTAACCTGGAACCGACCCTGTATATATCTTACTGACCCTGGATATAGATTCCCTATGACCCTGTATATGATACTGACCTTATTAGCTACTGACCCATGTTATTTTAGCTACTGACCCTGTATATAGCTACTGACCCTGGAACCGACCCTGTATATATCTACTGACCCTGGACGGTCCCTGTATATAGTCATGACCCTGGAACGGTCCCTGTATATAGCTACTGCCCCTGCCTGGAAACTGTCCCTGTATATAGCTACTGGACCCATGGAACTGTCCCTGTATCTGTCCCTGTATATAGCTACTGATTCCTGTATATAGCTTACTGACCCTGGAACTGTTCCCTGTATATAGCTTACTGCCCTGGATCTGGTCCCTTGTATATAGCTACTGACCCTGCCGAACTGTCCCTGTATATAGCTACTGACCCTGGGAGTGGTCCCTTGTATATAGCTACTGACCCTGGAACTGTCCCTGTATATAGCTACTGACCCTGGAACTGTCCCTGTATATAGCTACTGACCCTGGATCTGTCCCTGTATATAGCTACTGACTTTCTAGTGTTCTTCTTATTTCTATTTCTCGTGCGTCTTTGTTCTACTTTACTTTTTTATAAATGTTTTATAGTCCTACTGATATTATTACTACTGATACTGATTACTGCATTGTTGGGAAAGAGCAAGAAAGGCATTTCACTGTACTAGTAGTGCACGTGACAATCAAAACTTGAAACAGGGCTGATTGAGTACCTGAGTTGGGCACAATGAGGTGTCCTCCCTGGGAGTTGAAGGAGCCTGCGGCGGTGCAGGAGGGGTCTCGGGTCCGAGCCAGGCTCTGGCTACGCAGGTTCACGGTCTCACTGTCCAGCAGGGACTGGGTGACCTTAGGGGACAGCTTGGAGGAAAAGTCAGACAGGTCTTCCGATGGAGTGACCAGGCCGGAGGAGTTATACACCTTGATCTTCAGGTTGGGCAGGGGGTCCAGGAGGGGCGAGTTGGTCATGGGGATCTTGTCGGACATGTCGTGGAGGGCATAGACGGGGCCACGGTACATGGCTGCAGCGTTGGTCAGGTCCGGGGGAGCGGTGAGCAAGTCAGCTGTGGGTCAGAGGTCAGCGATGATTGGGTCATACGTTTTGTCAAATTCCAAATTAATATTTACCAAATTTGTTTATTTAGCCATGTAAATCAAGAACAAATTATCTTCACAATAATAACCTGGTTGATCAAGAGCAGACTGCATCAGGAAGTATGTACCATAGGTTTATATTTAGGAATTATTGTCTCAAAATGTCTAATCACACAATACAATTTCAAACCAAATGGGTCAAATGACTCAGTTCCATTACATTACAAGAGTTATTGTACGAGGCGTTTTCTATACAGGAGACACTTGGTCTGAACATTAACACTGATTGCTAATCAACTCGTTAGCATGCCACAACAGACACACCTGCTCTGAATGTAGCAGCTGATTACGCTCTGGGTTGAAGTTTCCCCTAGGTACAGATCTAGGATCAGCTTCCTCTCCACTAATCCTAACCTTATCCATTAGTGGGGAAAATGCAAAACTGACCTAAGATCAGCGTCTAGGGGCAACTTCACCCTACACCGTTGATTAAACCAGAGCCTCCATCTTCTATCTCCTTCTACGTCAGCTATGGTGCAGTATATGAAACAGACCTGCAGGTTCAACATAGTAGTTGTTTTCATTCCAATACTATAGCTACTCTTGAACGAGATTTCCATTGGTTCCATTGAGCTAGGCATAGTCCCAAAAGGTACAAACACCGCCCATGAGGCACTACAGACAGACTTGATGAAAACGCTGAAAGCATTAGAGCCCAGGTATGATATCATAAATCACTGAACATACGTTAAGCATCAACTCCTTTGTCTGAGTGTTAGTGTATGGTTCCATCCATCCCTCCATCCATCCATCATCTTACTGACAAGACGCTTTCTGCATACCAAATGGAAACATATTCTCTTTGTAGTGCACTGCTTCCCTCTGGGCCCTGGTGAAAAGTAGTGCACTACATCGGGAATAGGGTGCCATTTGGGACACAAAGGCTTATAATCCTGTTCCTATGCACAGTAGGAGCTCGTCCACTACTTTAGTTTGTTTGTGAAACCTCGCACCCCGATCCCTCACCGTCCCTCCCTCCCTCCTTCACCTTCACTCTGTCTGTGTACTCCTCCAGCCAGCTCATCTTTCCACCAATTCTCCCCCAGTGAAATGTAATTAACAGGCAACAGACCGCCAAGTGCGTGATGGAGGAGGAAGGAGGAAACGGAATACTTTATTAATATTAACCTGAGACGAGCCTTCACCACCGGATTGACATCCTGATGGTCTGCTGATGAAATGTCACCCGGCACTCAGACACACACACACACACACACAATGCGCTGCCGACCAAATTGCATTCCATCTTAGACCTCCGTTTTTCATTCACACCCTGATTTGAATGTTAATCCGGCCTCTGTCTTCCCCTCTCTCAGTAAGAGACCAGGCAGGCAACCAGCAGGGAACGTTCACAGCGGTGGACTACAGAAGCTTCTGTCTAGACGTAAAGGCCACCTTTAGGACCAGTGGGGGGGTGAGGGAGAGTATGGGATTAATAACACAAAGCTGCACGGTTGGTCTCCGACATCTTTTCAACCCTGATCTAATGAGAATTGCCTGTCACGCTGATGATGAAGGTCACTACTGTTGAGGTCTGGTGTTATCGTGAGTTGTCTGTACCGGTGAGGTCTGGTGTTATCGTGAGTTGTCTGTACCGGTGAGGTCTGGTGTTATCGTGAGTTGTCTGTATCGGTGAGGTCTGGTGTTATCGTGAGTTGTCTGTATCGGTGAGGTCTGGTGTTATCGTGTGTTGTCTGTATCGGTGAGGTCTGGTGTTATCGTGTGTTGTCTGTACCGGTGAGGTCTGGTGTTATCGTGAGTTGTCTGTATCGGTGAGGTCTGGTGTTATCGTGAGTTGTCTGTATCGGTGAGGTCTGGTGTTATCGTGTGTTGTCTGTATCGGTGAGGTCTGGTGTTATCGTGTGTTGTCTGTACCGGTGAGGTCTGGTGTTATCGTGAGTTGTCTGTACTGGTGAGGTCTGGTGTTATCGTGTGTTGTCTGTACCGGTGAGGTCTGGTGTTATCGTGAGTTGTCTGTACTGGTGAGGTCTGGTGTTATCGTGTGTTGTCTGTACCGGTGAGGTCTGGTGTTATCGTGTGTTGTCTGTACTGGTGAGGTCTGGTGTTATCGTGTGTTGTCTGTACCTAACAGGTGCAATGGCAGAGGAAAACTTGGATGGTTGTGACATAGCTACAGTACTGGAGCATCAGGCAGTCTACCATGGAAATATAATTACTAGAATGGACATTACCTTTCAAGTTGATGCTATATGGTGGGTGGACCGTTGCGGCGGCCATATTGACTATACCCCCACAGAGGAAATGACTGTGGTCTGAGGTGCTTTGGGGCATTTTTCTATGGTCTGTACCATCCCTCCACAGGATGGAAGGAAAGAGGAAAGTCTATCAGGAATGACTAATGTTGAGTATCTGGACCGGAGAGGGGAACATCTTGATGTTATCAGTGAAACAGAAAGCCATGATAGGAGGAGAAGGAAGTATTATACTTTCTCCGGGAGGCTATTATACAAAAAAATAGCTAACTAAGAGAATTACTACGGCCATGATTAAATCATGGATATTAATTATGGTTACATTAGTGTATATCTAGATTAAATAAGCAGTTACAGTTGAAGTCGGAAGTTTACATACACCTTAGTCAAATACATTTAAACTCATTTCTTCACAATTCCTGACATGTAATCCTAGTAAAAATTCCCTGTCTTAGGTCAGTTAGGATCATCACTTTATTTTAAGAACGTGAAATGTCAGAATTATAGTAGAGAGAATGCTTTATTTCAGCTTTTATTTCTTTCATCACATTCCCAGTGGGTCAGAAGTGTCACGATCGTTAGAGTGAGTGGACCAAGGCGCAGCGTTGAAGGCAAACATACTCTTTTATTAATAGTGATAACCCGAACAAAACAACAAACGATACATGCAGTCCTACGGTACAAACCAAAAGGAACAAGATCCCACAACAACTGTGGGAAAACAGCCTAAATGTGGTTCCCAATCAGAGACAACCAGCAACAGCTGACACTCGTTGCCTCTGATTGAGAACCACTCTGGCCAACATAGAAATGAAACAACTAGAAACTACAACACATAGAATCTACACACACTGGCTCAACATATAGAGTCCCCAGAGCCAGGGTGTGACAGTACCCCCCCCCCAAAGGCGCGGACTGCGACCGCGCCTAAACATAAACCAAACAGGGGAGGGCTGGGTGGGCATTCCTCCACCCTCTAACCATCCCCCCGTAGCGCCCCTGGTCCGGTCTGGCCCCGCTGGCTGGAGCTGGACTGGACATCGTAGGAGCGGATTGCTTAGGCTCCGGTGTGGAGCAGCTGACCGGTACCTGACCAGGCACCGGTGACCCAGGCACGGGTTGTGCCGGACTGACGACGCGCACCCCTGGCTTGGTGCGTGGAGCAGGAACGGGCCGGACCGGGCTGACAGGTGCGAGGGGCAGGAACAGGCCGGGCCGGGCTGTCGACGCGCACCGTAGGCTTGGTGCGAGGGGCAGGAACAGGCCGGGCCGGGCTGGCGACGCGCACCGTAGGCTTGGTGCGAGGGGCAGGAACAGGCCGGGCCGGGCTGGCGACGCACACCGTAGGCTTGGTGCGAGGGGCAGGAACAGGCCAGGCCGGGCTGGCGACGCGCACCGTAGGCTTGGTGCGAGGAGCAGGAACAGGCCGGGCCGGGCTGTGGAGACGGATTGGAGGCCTGGAGTGAAGAGCTGACACAACCCGTCCTGGCTGAATGCCTACCTTCACACACTCTGTGTGAGGCATCAGCACAGGACGTACAGGGCTGTGTACACGTACTGGCATAACAGCACGTGACACTGGCGCAGGATATCCGGGACCGAGGAGGGGCACTGGAGGCCACGAGCGCTGAGCCGGCACACTCCGTCCTGGCTGCATGCCCACCTTCGCACGACACGTGCGGGGTGCTCGCACAGGACGTACCGGACTATGCCGGACCACTCGTGGCACAGTACGCAGCTCCGCATACCCCGGAACCTGCCCAGTCTCATGCTGCCATGCCTGAGTACGGGGAGTTGGCTCTGCTCTACATCCAGGCTCCGCCAACCTGCCTTCCGGCCCCCCAAACCCGGTGGCCTCCTCTCCTAATCTCCCAATTCGCCCTGTGGCAGCCTCCTGCTGCCCCGTCGCCCATGCCGTGTGCCCCCCCCTAAAAATGTCTTGGGGGTGCCTCTCGTCTGTCCGACCACGGCCAGGTTGACGCCGCTTCTCCTCTCCTGCCTGGGTCTCCCCCTTCATAGCCCTCCGGTACCGGACGGCCTCCTCCTCCGTAATCTGCCCCCAACCGAGGAGGACATCCACTAGAGTTACCTCCTGCGTGTGCTCCTGGACACGCTGCTTGGTCCTGTTGTGGTGGGATCTTCTGTCACGATCGTTAGAGTGAGTGGACCAAGGCGCAGCGTTGAAGGCAAACATACTCTTTTATTAATAGTGATAACCCGAACAAAACAACAAACGATACATGCAGTCCTACGGTACAAACCAAAAGGAACAAGATCCCACAACAACTGTGGGAAAACAGCCTGTCTAAATGTGGTTCCCAATCAGAGACAACCAGCAACAGCTGACACTCGTTGCCTCTGATTGAGAACCACTCTGGCCAACATAGAAATGAAACAACTAGAAACTACAACACATAGAATCTACACACCCTGGCTCAACATATAGAGTCCCCAGAGCCAGGGTGTGACAAGAAGTTTACATACACTCAATTAGTATTTGGTAGCATTGCCTTTCAATTGTTTAACTTGGGTCAAACCTTTCGGGTAGCCTTCCACAAGCTTCCCACAATAAGTTGGGTGAATGTTGGCCCATTCCTCCTGACAGAGCTGGTGTAACGGAGTCAGGTTTGTAGGCCTCCTTGCTCGCACATGCTTTTTCAGTTCTGCCCACAAATGTTCTATAGGATTGAGGTCAGGGCTTTGTGATGGCCACTCCAAAACCTTGATTTTGTTGTCCTTAAGCCATTTTGCCACAACTTTGGAAGTATGCTTGGGGTCACTGTCCATTTGGACCCATTTGCGACCAAGCTTTAACTTCCTGACTGATGTCTTGAGATGTTGCTTCAATATATCCACATTATTTTCCTTCCTCATGATGCCATCTTTTGTGAAGTGCACCAGTCCCTCCTGCAGCAAAGCACCCCCACAGCATGATGCTGCCACACCCGTGATTCACGGTTGGAATGGTGTTCTTTGGCTTGCAAGAAACCCCCTTTTTCCTCCAAACATAACAATGGTCATTACGGCCAAACAGTTTTATTTTTGTTTAATCAGACCAGAGGACATTTCTCAAAAAAGTACAATCTTTGTCCCCATGTGCAGTTGCAAACCGTAGTATGGCTTTTTTATGGTGGTTTTGGAGCAGTGGCTTCTTCCTTGCTGAGCGGCCTTTCAGGTTATGTCGATATAGGACTCGTTTTACTGTGGATATACAGTAGATACTTTTGTACCTGTTTCCTCCAGCATCTTCACAAGGTCCTTTGCTGTTGTTCTGGGATTTATTTGCACTTTTCGCACCAAAGTACGTTCATCTCTAGGAGACAGAACGCGTCTCCTCCTGAGTGGTATGACGGCTGTGTGGTCCCATAGTGTTTATACTTGCGTACTATTGTTTGTACAGATGAACGTGGTACCTTCAGGTGTTTGGAAATTGCTCCCAAGGATGAACCAGACTTGTGGAGGTCTACAATTTGTTTTCTGAGGTCTTGGCTGATTTTCATTTACCCATGATGTCAAGCAAAGAGACACTGAGTTTGAAGGTAGGCCTTGAAATACATCCACAGGTACACCTCCAATTGACTCAAATGATGTCAATTAGCCTATCAGAAGCTTCTAAAGCCATGACATCATTTTCTGGAATTTTCCAAGCTGTTTAAAGGCACAGTCTTGACCCACTGGAATTGTGATACAGTGAATTATAAGTGAAATAATCTGTCTGTAAACAATTGTTGGAAAAATTTCTTGTGTCATGGACAAAGTAGATGTCCTAACCGACTTGCCAAAACTATAGTTTGTTAACAAGAAATTTGTGGAGTGGTTGAAAAACTAGTTTTAATGACTCCAACCTAAGTGTATGTAAACTTCTGACTTCAACTGTAAATAGCAATTCATAATCTTATTAACATACTGAAAGACACTGTGTTACTGCATATCCCCCTGTCCGATAGAATTGTAGCACTTTATTTTACTGTCTCCACTAGTCTTTACCCGGTTTCTAATAGGACATGTTGGCTTCAAAAAACATCTGTACACACTTGGTAACTACCTAGTACCAAATGGTGCTTGGTGGTGTTGGTTTAATGAATCCCCCCCAATAGTAATTTATACAGTGTTGTAGTACTCGAGTCCAGGACTCAGACTTGACTCAGACTCAAGTCAAGATTTTCACGACGCCGACTCGGACCAGTGGTGATTCGGACATGGACTCGACCGGTTATGACTTTATCAGAAAATCTACCTATTTTGCATTATTCAACCTACTAATTTAGCTGCAGCAGAAAATGTTACATAGCTGTATTATCTAGTTTGCTTTACAATACTAATTAAAAGTAGCTCGTGACTTGAGTATAAAGGACTCACTCGAACACTAGGGACTTGGAACTCGACTCGGACTAGAGGTTTAGTGACTTAACTACATCACTGCAGTGTAATAACCATTTATATTACTATGTCATTTCCTAGTAAATATGGGTAATCTATACCATGTCATTTCTTAGTAAATATGGGTAATCTATACCATGTCATTTCCTAGTAAATATGGGTAATCTATACTATGTCATTTCTTAGTAGATATGGGTAATCTATACCATGTCATTTCTTAGTAAATATGGGTAATCTATACTATGTCATTTCTTAGTAGATATGGGTAATCTATACCATGTCATTTCTTAGTAAATATGGGTAATCTATACCATGTCATTTCTTAGTAGATATGGGTAATCTATACCATGTCATTTCTTAGTAAATATGGGTAATCTATACCATGTAATTTCTTAGTAAATATGGGTAATCTATACCATGTAATTTCTTAGTAAATATGGGTAATCTATACCATGTAATTTCCTAGTAAATATGGGTAATCTATACCATGTCATTTCTTAGTAAATATGGGTAATCTATACCATGTCATTTCTTAGTAAATATGGGTAATCTATACCATGTCATTTCTTAGTAAATATGGGTAATCTAGACCATGCCATTTCCTAGTAAATATGGGTAATCTATACCATGTCATTTCTTAGTAAATATGGGTAATCTATACCATGTCATTTCTTAGTATAGATTACCCATATTTACTAAGAAATGAAATAGTATGGATTACCCATATTTATTATGTAATTTCTTAGTAAATATGTGTAATATATATGTCATTAAATAAAGTGCTACCGGAAAGACATCCCAAACTGAACCATTGTCTGAAGATGCAACGATAAGAGCACAGATAGAACTAGCCTGGGTACCAGACCTGTTTGTGCCATCCTTCCACTCCTGGCATATGGCAAGGAGTGGCAAGGACTGGAATGATGGAACAAACAGGTCTGGTACCCAGGCTAAGCTAGAACCAAGTCACCGCCCCACATCCTACTCACCTGAGCGTGCTGTCTTTATATTGACCGACTGGAAGCCTCCGTTAAGGGCTGACGAGTCGATGTCAGAGTCAAAGTCGCGGTGGGTTTTCCGGTAGACGAAGAGTGCCACGATGACGGAGATGACCAGACACATGATGACAGCGATGACGATGCCTACGTAGAGAGCCATGTTTTCTGTGCTGGGGGCCGCTGTGACAGAGACACAGAGAGGGAGGGACACAGTGAGAACCTGGTTAGAATTAAACCTGATTAATACTTTAAGGCTGAACTAGGGCTGCCCCGACTAAAAAGAAAAAACTTGGGTCGACCGAGTGTCGTCTGTTCCAATTGATTGATCAACATTTTAAAACGTGTATTTTCCCATATATAGACACACCCTATGTTTGAATAAAATCAACTATATGTAGGCTACTTTGCCTGATGCTTTATGCACTGCAATTAAAAAATGACACACAAATGAATAAAGAGAGGGAGCCAGAGATATATATATATATAGCCTAACCAGAAGAATGAAACCTGTTCCCGACCCTCCTCCCGCTGCCCGCTGTCCGCTGCTGGCTTCCACACATTCTGCCATTACGCTCCTGAAGTTGCCTGTAATAGGCTACGCCAGCGGTTGGCAACCTAATCCATTTGGAGTGCCAAGTTATCCTACCATTTATACTGATCTGCGTGCCAGTTATGATTTTCATAACCACATCTTCGTGGAACAATTTTCATTTAATTTGTAATAAAAGTCTTCATATCTCAAAATCAATGTCAATGGAAGAAAGAGCCATTCCTATACAACCTCTCCATCTCCGTGAGTTTAGGGTCCAGTTTGAGTTGATCTGCCAGAAGTTTCTTGGCCTTGACTTCTGTGTCATGCCAAGTTTCAGTCTTTGTGTCCTCAATTCCATCGATTAAAACGTTATTGCGCCTCAATTGGTTTTCGAGGTAGTTTCCTCTGGAAGAGTGCTTGTCAAGTGTTGTGGTTTTGAATGCAGTCTGGCTGGTGACATTCATGCCCTTTAGCTCCTCCACCTCTGACTGTGTAAACACCAAACTGTTTAAATTCCATTACATCCTTAAACAGATCATCAACCCTTTTATTCCTCTTCGACATTGATCTTTGCAGCATTTTTCTGTCTGGCATTAGCCATGCTACAAGCTTGTTGTGAGCTAAAATGAGTTCGCAAACAACCCACACCCCGCCTCCTGAAAACAAGCTCTGCCAGTGAAATGGCAAACACACACAAGCAACACAGACTTGATGTCACATGCACCAGTACGATAAACAGAGAGAAGGCAGAGGACTTACTCGCTCTATGGATCCTGGCTGCACTTTACTAAACGAGCGGGAAATCACCAACTCGCAAGTTACTCCTAGCAGTATGCAGGGCAGTAAATCAAAACACCGGTAAAATATGCTTGGGAGAGACATTGTAGGAGCATTCACTTACCCACTGAACGAGTAGCGTGAACGAGCACCGTGAACTTCTTCTCATACATGGTAAAATGATTCCCTACTCTATTCAGTGCTTGTTCTCTCACATAAACTGAAATTGAGTGAACAGTGTAGAATTTTAGCAACCAGGAAATGACCGAGGGATTTCTACATTGGCCCCTTCCACTAGATAAACACAGCGACAAACTCAAAACAGCTTTCCCATTTTGACAGATGCCGCTCCGCGCGAGAAGTCAATAGGTGAATATCACAGCCAATCACAACACTGGCGGATAAGTAAATGTAGCACCTTTAATAAGCCTGAACATTTCAAAAGTGACATTTTTTATATCAAACCCGAGGCAGACCCATAAAGTTTTTATTGATGGGTTGGCTGTGCTGCTAAATGGGGGGGCTAAAAGAATTCAAAGGGCTCAGTGGAGAACAGGACCAGAATACATGGCTGAGCTCCTACACATCATCAAGGAGGAAACAGTCTAGTACAAGTGACATTTCAAACACGTTTAGTTATGCCACTTGCCTCATCTATGGCGTATTCAGCAGGGCTAGATTTAGTCAGCAGTTAGAGGGATGAAGAAAGGAAATAAGAAAAACTCAGTCATAAAGTCAAATCTGTCATACAGGCAGGATTTCGTCACAATATTGACAATAATCCAGATCATAGATCTTAAAATTCCCACTCAGATTTACACAAGGGGCAATGATAACCTCCTGCCACTAGAGGGAGATATAAACCACATTTGTTCCCACTGGTAGAATTGCCCTCTACTATGGCTGTCATCTTCATGACCTGGAACCATTATGGGGTGTACGGGGAAGTTGCCCCTGAACATGGATCTTGGGTCAGTTTTGCATTTCCCCCACTAATGGCTAAGGTAAGGTTTGGGGAAGGGGAAGCTGATCCTAGATCTGTACCACAGATCTCACGTAGAATGTCAACCATGAACAGGAAGAAGAGCAGAGAGACACTAACTGTACCACCTATCACATAACAGATGATCTCTTACATCATAACGGCTCCTTAGTCTGTTCAATTCTTAACCTCAAAGTGACAACAATAGTTCCCAGTTGAGTGCAGTGGTTCTCAACTGGTTTTGCCTCGGGACCCAAATTGAACCAGGTTGTCTGAGTCGCGACCCAATATTCACATCATGAAAAATAATCGCCAAAATACAAATCTGGAAAACTAATTTTAATGCTATATTGATAGTAAATGTAGCAATTAAATGTCAAGGTACATACACTATATAATGTTGTGATAGCCTGGGCTATATTCCCTACATATACTATATAATGTTGTGGTAGCCTGGGCTATATTCCCTACATATAATATATCCTGTTGGGATAGCCTGGGCTATATGCCCTACATACACTATACTATGTTGTGATAGCCTGGGCTATATGCCCTACATATACTATATCATGTTGTGATAGCCTGGGCTATATGCCCTACATATACTATATCATGTTGTGATAGCCTGGGCTATATTCCCTACATATACTATATCATGTTGTGATAGCCTGGGCTATATGCCCTACATATTCTATATCATGTTGTGATAGCCTGGGCTATATGCCCTACATATACTATATCCTGTTGTGATAGCCTGGGCTATATGCCCTACATATACTATATCATGTTGTGATAGCCTGGGCTATATGCCCTACATATTCTATATCATGTTGTGATAGCCTGGGCTATATGCCCTACATATACTATATCATGTTGTGATAGCCTGGGCTATATGCCCTACATATACTATATCATGTTGTGATAGCCTGGGCTATATGCCCTACATATACTATATAATGTTGGGATAGCCTGGGCTATATGCCCTACATATACTATATCATGTTGTGATAGCCTGGGCTATATGCCCTACATATACTATATCATGTTGTGATAGCCTGGGCTATATGCCCTACATATTCTATATCATGTTGTGATAGCCTGGGCTATATTCCCTACATATACTATATCCTGTTAGGATAGCCTGGGCTATATGCCCTACATATACTATATAATGTTGTGATAGCCTGGGCTATATTCCCTACATATACTATATCATGTTGTGATAGCCTGGGCTATATGCCCTACATATACTATATCCTGTTAGGATAGCCTGGGCTATATGCCCTACATATACTATATAATGTTGTGATAGCCTGGGCTATATTCCCTACATATACTATATCATGTTGTAACAGCCTGGGCTATATTCTCTACACACTGTTCCTTTATCTCTGGTGTCAGATATGCCAGAATTAGCAGCATTATAACTTTACTAAAGTTCTTACTACTCCCTCTACTGCAGCCTCTGCACCAGGCAGAAACCTCTGACCCCCTGCTACACTTCCCCTAGGTACAGATCTAGGATCAGCTTCCCCTCCCACAATCCTAACCTTCACCATCAGTGGGGGAGTTACTAAACTGACCCCACCCTTCAGCAACTGTCCTATACGGCCACAACCATCAACGTCTCCCAGACCTGATCACATGTGGCGTGTCAACAGTAGTCCACTGGGTTCTCCTCTAAATTGGATCTGGATGAAACATCCATCTCCTCTCAATCATGAATTTTCAAATTTTTTGCCGTTTCAGAAACATGGTTGACTGAAGAGACAGCCCAGTAGACAAACAATATCCCACTGACTGGGTTGATCAATCATGTGTGAGGGGGGACGCTCCATCTTCAACGTTTCTTCTGACAGTAGCTGGGAGCTAGACCCACTACATGCACGCACGCCTGCGTGCACACAAAGGTCAGGCTTTGTGCATGCAGGGGGGAAGGGACGGAAACACTCATGAACGAGTCAGGAGATCAGATTGATCCCATCGACCAAGCCTAGCCTCTAATTAAGACAATATGCAGATGGCTTATGCACAGCCAGTGGGGCTGAGGGTAGCAAGGTCTGATTACCTGGCAACCTCTGCTGCCCCTGGGGGTAGCACATACACGCCACAAAATCAACGGCTCTGGGTCTCAAGCCCCCCTCTATTGATTTCTGGACTTTTCTTTCTGTCCCGCTAGGCAGATTGAGACAGGGGAGGCTAATGCAGCTAGCTGCAAGTACCTGATCAGCATCCAGACTAGCTCTAAAGTGGACGTAGGTAGCTAAACAAGATGGAGGGAGAGAGAGTTCTGTCTTCAGTCAGGGTAATCACCATTGGCTAATCCGAGCATTGATACCAGAGGAAAAGCAAATACTTTCATGTGGGTCACTGAATAATGAGGAGTGAATGAGGGTGAAATGGAGGGCACCAGCACACCCCTAGCAACATCTAGCTCCCATCTGACACCCCTAGTAACATCTAGCTCCCATCTCCAACACCTATAGCAACAATTAGCTCCCATCTGACACCCCTAGTAACATCTAGGTCCCATCTCTGACACCTATAGCAACATCAAGCTCCCATCTCTGACCCCTAGCAACATCAAGCTCCTATCTGACACCCCTAGCAACATCAAGCTCCCATCTGACACCCCTAGTAACATCTAGCTCCCATATCTGACACTAGCTCCTTTCGCCTGTTCCCTACTGTGAGTATGACATCCTGTTATCCAAGATTTTACAAAGAAATATAATATTTACATTTGAGTCATTTTTGGACATTCTTACGGTCAGTGTATTCAGCTAAGGTAGGTAAGACAACCACATCACAGTAACTGACAGGAAAACTGTCCTCCAAAAAGAGCAGCTATTTCTGAAATCAGTGCAAGTAAGAAATAGAAAATACAAATAATTGCTTATCTCTTCTGAAAAATCAAAACACCGGTCAAAGATGCTTGGGAGAGACAATGGTAGGAGCATTCAGTTACCCACCGAACGAGTAGCGTGAACGAGCACCGTGAACTTCTTCTCATACATGAATTTCCTTTAAACCAGGTTTAGAGTAAGGGTAGCTAAACTAGTTTATCTAGTTTCTACTGTAGCCTAGGTCTTGATGGGTTACTGAACAAATAGTGAGGGGATACATCCTTGACTTCTTAAATACCGTATTACAGTACGTTACTGTACATGTTACTGTATTACGGCACATGTTACTGTATTGCGGTACAGGTTACTGTATTGTGGTTCATGTTACTGTACATGTTACATAAAATGTGTAATTATAACTTAAATACTGTTTTATTTTATACTATTATGTATTATGTTATATACAGTTGTGACACATTTCCTTCATTACATTTACATTTTTAGTCATTTAGCAGACGCTCTTATCCAGAGCGACTTCATGACACCAATACCTAAATAACCTATAGTGGGAGTGCTAGAATAAAGATATGGAACATTTCTTCCTATAGTACAATCCTCTCCCACAACCTCTCCACCTCCCTACAGTTATTTCACATATATCTCCCCGCTGTGATGAGAACACTAGGAGCCCAAAACGCCAGCATCAGAATGTATAACTAAGATTAATAGATGTCTTTGAACATGAAAAGAAAATGAGCACAGAACAAATTATCTGCCAATGAAATCCTGAGAATGATTATTATGTTTAATTTCTAAGCTCATAGCTCAAGGAGTGTGAGAGATAGAGTAATCAGTAAAACTCTCTCTCAAATCGAGATGAGGAGGCTGTAAAACCACAGAGACACTGGAACCTCTCTGACACCAGTATAGTGGGGCTGACTGGAGGAGGAGGAGGAGGAGGATACACTAGAGACCAGTATAGTGGGGCTGAGTGGAGGAGGAGGATACACTAGAGACCAGTATAGTGGGGCTGAGTGGAGGAGGAGGATACACTAGAGACCAGTATAGTGGGGCTGACTGGAGGAGGAGGAGGATACACTAAAGACCAGTATAGTGGGGCTGACTGGAGGAGGAGGAGGAGGATACACTAGAGACCAGTATAGTGGGGCTGAGTGGAGGAGGAGGAGGATACACTAGAGACCAGTATAGTGGGGCTGAGTGGAGGAGGAGGAGGATACACTAGAGACCAGTATAGTGGGGTTGAGTGGAGGAGGAGGATACACTAGAGACCAGTATAGTGGGGCTGACTGGAGGAGGAGGAGGATACACTAGAGACCAGTATAGTGGGGCTGACTGGAGGAGGAGGAGGATACACTACAGACCAGTATAGTGGGGCTGAGTGGAGGAGGAGGATACACTAGAGACCAGTATAGTGGGGCTGAGTGGAGGAGGAGGAGGATACACTAGAGACCAGTATAGTGGGGCTGACTGGAGGAGGAGGAGGATACACTAGAGACCAGTATAGTGGGGCTGAGTGGAGGAGGAGGATACACTAGAGACCAGTATAGTGGGGCTGAGTGGAGGAGGAGGATACACTAGAGACCAGTATAGTGGGGCTGACTGGAGGAGGAGGAGGATACACTAAAGACCAGTATAGTGGGGCTGACTGGAGGAGGAGGAGGAGGATACACTAGAGACCAGTATAGTGGGGCTGAGTGGAGGAGGAGGAGGATACACTAGAGACCAGTATAGTGGGGCTGAGTGGAGGAGGAGGAGGATACACTAGAGACCAGTATAGTGGGGCTGACTGGAGGAGGAGGAGGATACACTAGAGACCAGTATAGTGGGGCTGACTGGAGGAGGAGGAGGATACACTACAGACCAGTATAGTGGGGCTGAGTGGAGGAGGAGGGATACACTAGAGACCAGTATAGTGGGGCTGAGTGGAGGAGGAGGAGGATACACTAGAGACCAGTATAGTGGGGCTGACTGGAGGAGGAGGAGGATACACTAGAGACCAGTATAGTGGGGCTGAGTGGAGGAGGAGGATACACTAGAGACCAGTATAGTGGGGCTGAGTGGAGGAGGAGGATACACTAGAGACCAGTATAGTGGGGCTGACTGGAGGAGGAGGAGGATACACTAGAGACCAGTATAGTGGGGCTGAGTGGAGGAGGAGGAGGAGGATACACTAGAGACCAGTATAGTGGGGCTGAGTGGAGGAGGAGGATACACTAGAGACCAGTATAGTGGGGCTGAGTGGAGGAGGAGGATACACTAGAGACCAGTATAGTGGGGCTGACTGGGAGGAGGAGGATACACTAGAGACCAGTATAGTGGGGCTGACTGGAGGAGGAGGAGGATACACTAGAGACCAGTATAGTGGGGCTGAGTGGAGGAGGAGGAGGAGGATACACTAGAGACCAGTATAGTGGGGCTGAGTGGAGGAGGAGGAGGATACACTAGAGACCAGTATAGTGGGGCTGAGTGGAGGAGGAGGATACACTAGAGACCAGTATAGTGGGGCTGAGTGGAGGAGGAGGAGGATACACTAGAGACCAGTATAGTGGGGCTGAGTGGAGGAGGAGGAGGATACACTAGAGACCAGTATAGTGGGGCTGAGTGGAGGAGGAGGATACACTAGAGACCTGTATAGTGGGGCTGACAGGAGGAGGAGGAGGAGGATACACTAGAGACCAGTATAGTGGGGCTGAGTGGAGGAGGAGGATACACTAGAGACCAGTATAGTGGGGCTGACTGGAGGAGGAGGAGGATACACTAGAGACCAGTATAGTGGGGCTGAGTGGAGGAGGAGGATACACTAGAGACCAGTATAGTGGGGCTGACTGGAGGAGGAGGAGGATACACTAGAGACCAGTATAGTGGGGCTGAGTGGAGGAGGAGGAGGATACACTAGAGACCAGTATAGTGAGGCTGAGTGGAGGAGGATACACTAGAGACCAGTATAGTGGGGCTGAGTGGAGGAGGAGGAGGATACACTAGAGACCAGTATAGTGGGGCTGAGTGGAGGAGGAGGATACACTAGAGACCAGTATAGTGGGGCTGACTGGAGGAGGAGGATACACTAGAAACCAGTATAGTGGGGCTGAGTGGAGGAAGAGGAGGATACACTAGAGACCAGTATAGTGGGGCTGAGTGGAGGAGGAGGATACACTAGAGACCAGTATAGTGGGGCTGAGTGGAGGAGGAGGATACACTAGAGACCAGTATAGTGGGGCTGAGTGGAGGAGGAGGAGGATACACTAGAGACCAGTATAGTGGGGCTGACTGGAGGAGGAGGAGGATACACTAGAGACCAGTATAGTGGGGCTGACTGGAGGAGGAGGATACACTAGAGACCAGTATAGTGGGGCTGACTGGAGGAGGAGGAGGATACACTAGAGACCAGTATAGTGGGGCTGAGTGGAGGAGGAGGAGGATACACTAGAGACCAGTATAGTGGGGCTGAGTGGAGGAGGATACACTAGAGACCAGTATAGTGGGGCTGAGTGGAGGAGGAGGATACACTAGAGACCAGTATAGTGGGGCTGACTGGAGGAGGAGGAGGATACACTAGAGACCAGTATAGTGGGGCTGAGTGGAGGAGGAGGAGGATACACTAGAGACCAGTATAGTGTGGCTGACTGGAGGAGGAGGAGGAGGATACACTAGAGACCAGTATAGTGGGGCTGAGTGGAGGAGGAGGATACACTAGAGACCAGTATAGTGGGGCTGACTGGAGGAGGAGGATACACTAGAGACCAGTATAGTGGGGCTGAGTGGAGGAGGAGGAGGATACACTAGAGACCAGTATAGTGGGGGCTGAGTGGAGGAGGAGGATACACTAGAGACCAGTATAGTGGGGCTGAGTGGAGGAGGAGGAGGATACACTAGAGACCAGTATAGTGGGGCTGAGTGGAGGAGGAGGAGGATACACTAGAGACCAGTATAGTGGGGCTGACTGGAGGAGGAGGAGGAGGATACACTAGAGACCAGTATAGTGGGGCTGACTGGAGGAGGAGGAGGAGGATACACTAGAGACCAGTATAGTGGGGGGCTGACTGGGGAGGAGGAGGAGGATACACTAGAGACCAGTATAGTGGGGCTGACTGGAGGAGGAGGAGGAGGATACCTAGAGACCATTATAGTTGGTGGCTGACTGGAGGAGGAGGAGGAGGAGGATACACTAGAGACCAGTATAGTGGGGCTGACTGGGGAGGAGGAGGAGGATACACTAGAGACCAGTATAGTGGGGGCTGACTGGAGGAGGAGGATACACTAGAGACCAGTATAGTGGGGCTGACTGGAGGGAGGAGGATACACTAGAGACCAGTTATAGTGGGGCTGACTGGAGGAGGAGGAGGATACACTAGAGACCAGTATAGTGGGGCTGACTGGAGGAGGAGGAGGATACACTAGAGACCAGTATAGTGGGGCTGAGTGGAGGAGGAGGATACACTAGAGACCAGTATAGTGGGGGCTGACTGGAGGAGGAGGAGGATACACTAGAGACCAGTATAGTGGGGCTGACTGGAGGAGGAGGAGGATACACTAGAGACCAGTATAGTGGGGCTGAGTGGAGGAGGAGGAGGATACACTAGAGACCAGTATAGTGGGGCTGAGTGGAGGAGGAGGAGGATACACTAGAGACCAGTATAGTGGGGCTGAGTGGAGGAGGAGGATACACTAGAGACCAGTATAGTGGGGCTGACTGGAGGAGGAGGAGGATACACTAGAGACCAGTATAGTGGGGCTGACTGGAGGAGGAGGAGGATACACTAGAGACCCAGTATAGTGGGGCTGAGTGGAGGAGGAGGAGGATACACTAGAGACCAGTATAGTGGGGCTGACTGGAGGAGGAGGAGGAGGATACACTAGAGACCAGTATAGTGGGGCTGAGTGGAGGAGGAGGAGGATACACTAGAGACCAGTATAGTGGGGTTGAGTGGAGGAGGAGGATACACTAGAGACCAGTATAGTGGGGCTGAGTGGAGGAGGAGGATACACTAGAGACCAGTATAGTGGGGCTGACTGGAGGAGGAGGAGGATACACTAGAGACCAGTATAGTGGGGCTGAGTGGAGGAGGAGGATACACTAGAGACCAGTATAGTGGGGCTGAGTGGAGGAGGAGGATACACTAGAGACCAGTATAGTGGGGCTGACTGGAGGAGGAGGAGGATACACTAGAGACCAGTATAGTGGGGCTGAGTGGAGGAGGAGGAGGATACACTACAGACCAGTATAGTGGGGCTGACTGGAGGAGGAGGAGGATACACTAGAGACCAGTATAGTGGGGCTGAGTGGAGGAGGAGGAGGATACACTAGAGACCAGTATAGTGGGGCTGACTGGAGGAGGAGGATACACTAGAGACCAGTATAGTGGGGCTGAGTGGAGGAGGAGGATACACTAGAGACCAGTATAGTGGGGCTGACTGGAGGAGGAGGATACACTAGAGACCAGTATAGTGGGGCTGAGTGGAGGAGGAGGATACACTAGAGACCAGTATAATGGGGCTGAGTGGAGGAGGAGGAGGATACACTAGAGACCAGTATAGTGGGGCTGAGTGGAGGAGGAGGAGGATACACTAGAGACCAGTATAGTGGGGCTGACTGGAGGAGGAGGAGGATACACTACAGACCAGTATAGTGGGGCTGACTGGAGGAGGAGGATACACTAGAGACCAGTATAGTGGGGCTGAGTGGAGGAGGAGGATACACTAGAGACCAGTATAGTGGGGCTGAGTGGAGGAGGAGGAGGATACACTAGAGACCAGTATAGTGGGGCTGACTGGAGGAGGAGGAGGATACACTAGAGACCAGTATAGTGGGGCTGAGTGGAGGAGGAGGAGGATACACTAGAGACCAGTATAGTGGGGCTGACTGGAGGAGGAGGAGGATACACTAGAGACCAGTATAGTGGGGCTGAGTGGAGGAGGAGGATACACTAGAGACCAGTATAGTGGGGCTGAGTGGAGGAGGAGGATACACTAGAGACCAGTATAGTGGGGCTGAGTGGAGGAGGAGGAGGATACACTAGAGACCAGTATAGTGGGGCTGACTGGAGGAGGAGGAGGATACACTACAGACCAGTATAGTGGGGCTGAGTGGAGGAGGAGGATACACTAGAGACCAGTATAGTGGGGCTGACTGGAGGAGGAGGAGGATACACTACAGACCAGTATAGTGGGGCTGAGTGGAGGAGGAGGATACACTAGAGACCAGTATAGTGGGGCTGAGTGGAGGAGGAGGAGGATACACTAGGAGTATCATCAAGGAGGGGAACACTGTAAAGACAGATGTGTGTGTAACCTTAAGGAATAGGTGGTATGGCATGACATGGGGGGGGGGGGGGAAATCAAGAGGACACAAATCAATCAACAAAATAAGGAATGGAATGGAAAACAAAAAATACACCAACTCACATGAAAATCCCAAATCACTGTCGGCTTTAGGCTCAGTGGACAGCTGATATAATGAACCTTGAGGGGGAGAGAAGGGGCGGGAAGTCAAAACAAATGGAACAAAACAAAAGAGCAACCAAGAAGAAAATCAAAATGGACACCCATCACTGAAAATGTAAACATAGACCTTAATATATTGTCTTTCCTTCTTTCAAAACCTAACTGAATGAGAAATGAATGGCACTGTGATACAAACCTTGCACTGCAGTGACAGCGGTAGCACAGTCAGTGATCTACTTTGTTCAGGCACGCAGACTTTCATTAAAGTGTAGTGTATAATTGATAGAGTACAGCTTGGCCATTTAGAACGCTCCTGTCACCCCTGCTGCACCGCCACCCTTAATGGGACAATACACTTTCAAATCAAAAAGTTTGTCCGATGTTTTCAGACCTCTACAGTAGTCTAACGTCAAGATGAAAGCACGTCCCATGACATTGGTTGTGTAGATCCAGCTATATGCCTGCACCCCAAAATTAATGTAAAAGACAAGCAATAAATAAAACAAAAGAAATATAGATGGTGCTTTTCCAATGATCTGAGATTGAGCCTTATTAGCTACCGTGTCGTGGGACCTGGGGTTTCATCTCGACATCACTCTGCTTCTGAGGTCTGAAAACGTCGGACAAACTTTTATTAACAAGTGAAATGTCCCTTTAAGATTAGAACATCAGCTCAGGAGAGATGTGGAGATGAGTGGCGTTATACACACAGACCTTATGGACACATGGTACATTGACTTGACTGTACAGGACGTTATGGAGAGATCACACGCACACGTCACAATACAATCACACTGTAGACAGACAATGATGTTGACACTGAACTTGAGGAATGACGAGTGTAATAACAGGTTGCCTATTTTAAAAACGCAACATGGAGGAGAAGATGAAAGACAACGTAAGGTGTCCATATTAGGACATCCTCAATCTCAGCAGGACTAATATGGACACCGTGACGTTGAAACAAAAAAAGGGGAAAGGAGTTTATAACAACTAGCGAAGGACTGAAGTCAGAGGGAAAAGACACAGGGCATAAACCAATGAGAAATAGAGGGACTGAAGTCAGAGGGAAAAGACACAAGGCATAAACCAATGAGAAACAGAGGGACTGAAGTCAGAGGGAAAAGACACAGGGCATAAACCAATGAGAAATAGAGGGACTGAAGTCAGAGGGAAAAGACACAAGGCATAAACCAATGAGAAATAGAGGGACTAAAGTCAGAGGGAAAAGACACAAGGCATAAACCAATGAGAAATAGAGGCCTGTATATGCTGCTGTACTTTACTCAATTGCAAAAGAGTGTCGTCAGTGCTGAGACAGTCTATAGAGTAGCTAGCTAAATCACTCCTGCAAACCACACCCACTCCTAATCCTCTGTCTCCACTAGTCATCTCACCAAACAGAAATCTGTGTATACCGTACATATAGTATATCTATGAAAAACTGTTAATGTACCGTAGAAAGTATAGCTCTTCTTTGCTGTCAAAGCGTCTAGGCTAAGGAACCTTACTTTCTTGTATAGACAGGCTCCCAAAAGACAAACCTATTCTATTAAAGTCTTCTCTGACCAGTACAAAATAGCTTATTTTTACAGGGCACCACTCCCTAACAACATTTCTTCACTAAAATCTGCAGTTCTTGCCATCGGGACTCATCAATGTTGTCAACATGAGAAACATGATCCTTTCATGTACTGCCAATGGCTTCTTGTAACACTCACCCTAACCCACTGGTAAGACTAACGCTAACTCACTAAACGAACCCAAATTGTATTTAACTGAACCTTTTTCATTTTGCTGTGTTGTGGCCATATTTCGCTGTATTGAAACTCGGAAGAAAGGTTTAACTGTACTTTCTACTTTGTGTGGTACTACCACACCACTACCAAGCAATGCCATGATGCAGCGTTAAACAACTACAGTTGTCTTTAAAATGTCTTTTATTCAATCTGAATCATTTGAAATAAACTCCAACCCAGACCCATAGGAAACGTGAAATAGGCACAGAGTAAAAGGTATGTTTTCTATGCTAATACAGTGCTGGATGTCTAGTCCACTCAGTCGATAGAAAATGTCATCTGTCTGAGAGCAGAGCAACAAAAGCTACTTAAATCACGGAGAAATGGACGAGAGAGGAAAATACTAGAGGTGAGGCAGACGGAGGTCAAGTGGATTTCAACTACTCAGGTTTTATAATGGGAAAACTTTAGATGGGCAAGAGGAAGAAAGCAGGAAAGTGCCTGTAGGTACAGTAACTGGAGAAAAGTCAATTATACAGCGCTATCAGAAACATCATGCACTACACTACTACACTAGTGTTCACATTCTTCAAGCCCCAAAAAAATAAATCACATTTTTATGAACTCCCAGCGTTAAGTTATGTCTAATTTAAAGGAAATGGACACGATAAATAAAAAAAAAGGTAATGATAAGAATAGTTATTAAGAGACAAGTATGTTTTAGTAAGAAACAGGGCGGGGAATACTAAGGGTAGCCTATACACAAACGATTCAACAGAATCCAACAGAAACACTGATTTATTATTTGCAATGCAAACATATTAAAGTACCAGTCAAGATGCAAAGTGAATGGACCCATTAGAGCGGGTTGATATGGTCTACATAAGTATTGCTTTCAGCATCATATTTGAAGCATTGCAGGCTTTTAAGCCTCATGGATTTCTCCTAAATATTGGAGGAAACTGTTATTAGTGCAGACACAGACAGGGCACCGGCCTCTAAAAGCACAAAAAATCAATCTGGGTGAAACGAGGCTGAATCTATACGGTTATGGGTTTTATATTCAGAGTGTACTCCCCATCCATCTACCTGGGACTTAATGCAGCGGCTATGGATCTCACAAGCCCAATGAGGGCATTTAAAACTATGGGCAGCAGTGCTGTGCCTCCAAGAAATATGAACAGACCATCAATAACGGTGATCATGTAAATGCGTGGTAAGACTAACGATCATGATATAGGTATAGCACTAGGCTTTTCTAACAACATGCATGGATTTATTTGATTTCCTTTAAATGTGTTAAATCCATTAGAGGTTTTATGTCTAACAAATGTGGAATTTCATGCTGCTTTTCTCAATGTAAACGCGGAGAGCCTAGAGCACTTCTAAGAGGAGTGGGGAAAGTCCTTAAGCCTAATTTATACCATACATACGCACTGTATGTACGCAACGCAAGAACGCAATTAGCTACACTAAATGGTGATCTTGCGTACCTGTGTCAAGTTACAAATTGCGAGGTTGGACCCGTCTACTGCATATTTCTGCAACACAACTACGCAGGATAGACATTTTGTGTAGTTTAATAGTAGGTCTTGCTTTGCATATTGCCTAGGGTATAAATTAGGCTTCACACTGATCAGTCTGTGGGGGGATTACACTCTGTTACACTGGTTTAGCCTTTGAGAAATGTTCGAGCACAGAGCTGTTATAGTTATTATACCCATGGTGTTGGAACCGAAGGATGCTAAACTTCAATACTTCATCCGTATGTGTGAGTTTCAGAGTTTTTTTGAATACTGAAGAGTGTGTAGCTGCTTCAACAGATAATGTGTAGGTGTCCTGTAAGACTATGAGAGTATGTCTTATGTATTTGTTGTTGTGAGTTGCATTTGTCCCGTGCTGCATTGTATTTTATTGTATACTTTCGCTGCTTCCTCTTGACCAGGACTCCCTTAAAGAAAGTATTAATCTCAATTGGACTGGTTAAATAACAGATAAATATATAGGTCCAGGAGGATTTAGCAGATAAAAATATACTTATAAATAATGTCCTGTGTAAAACCAAACCAGAGTCTTTGATGAGAGTCTTAGAAACATACACTATATATATATATATATATATATATATATATATATATATATATATATATATATATATATATATACATACACACACATACACAAAAGTATGTGGACACCCCTTCAAATTAGTGGATTCGGCTATTTCAGTTACACCCATTGCTGACAGGTGTATAAAATCGAGCACACCGCCGTGCAATCTCCATAGACAAACATTGGCAGTATAATGGCCTTATTGAAGAGCTCAGTGACTGTCAACATGGTACCGTCATAGGATGCCACCTTTCCAACAAGTCAGTTCGTCACATTTCTGCCCTGCTAGAGCTGCCCCAGTCAACTTTAAGTGCTGTTATTGTGAGGGGAAACGTCTAGGAGCAACAACGGCTCAGCTGCGAAGTGGTAGGCCACACAAGCGCACAGAACGGGACCGCTGAAGCACGTAAAAATCTTCTGTCCTTGGTTACAACACTCACTACCGAGTTCCAAACTGCCTCTGGAAGCAACTTCAGTACAATAAATGCTTGTCGGGAGATTCATGAAATGGGTTTCCATGACCGAGCTGCAACACACAAGCCTAATATCACCATGCACAATGCCAAGCGTCGGCTGGAGTGGTGTAAAGCTCGCCGCCATTGGACTCGGGAGCAGTGGAAACGCGTTCTTTGGAGTGATGAATCATGCTTCTCCATCTGGCAGTCCGACGGACTAATCTGGTTTTGGCGGATGCCAAGAGAACGCTACCTTCCCCAATGTATAGTGCCAACTGTAAAGTTTGGTGGAGGACAAATAATGGTGGGGGCTGTTTTTCATGATTCAAGCTAGGCCCCTTAGTTCCAGTGAAGGGAAATCTTAACGCTACAGCATACAATGACATTATAGACGATTATGTGCTTCCAAATATGAGGCAGCAGTTTGGGGAAGGCCCTTTCCTGTTTCAGCATGACAATGCCTCCGTGCACAAAGCGATGTCCATACAGAAATGGCTTGTCGAGATCAGTGTGAAAGATATTGACTGGCCTGCACAGAGCCCTGACCTCAACCCCATTGAACACCTTTGGGATGAATTGGAACGCCGACTGCGAGCCAGGCCTAATCGCCCAACATCAGTGCCCGACCTCACTAATGCTCGTGGCTGAATGGAAGCAAGTCCCCTCAGCAATATTCCAACATCTAGTGAAAAGCTTTCCCAGAAGAGTAGAGGCTATTCTAGCAGCATTGGGGGGGACTAACTCCATATTAATGCCCATGATTTTGGAATGAGATGTCCGACGAGCGGGTGTCCACATACTTTTGGTCATGTAGTGTATTTCTCCAAAATAATATCTACAGCATAGCCTTGTTCAAAGGGAATGCATCACATGATGCAAAACACATAGCAGATTTTTCTCTGTACTAAAAGTGCTCCATATTGAAAACTTGACTGCTGATATGTGTTGGGGGGGGGGGTGGGGGGGGGTGGGGGGGGGGGGTTGTATGAACGGGTTGGCTGACAACGTCACTAAAAAGATCCGTGCGCATCGACGTGGCCTGAAGGCGTGCGCTGTTATGCTTCTGAACAGTCAGATAGCTATCAACAATGACAAGAAGCTGCCTTGTGGTGAATCGTAGGTGGCTCGTTTCAGCTCGATGTATCTTGTTATTGATACCATGTCTTGTTTTGAGGTGTTTTGACTGATGTCATGTCTATTCTAATATGGCTTAAATTCACTAGCTAGCCAATCAACAACTGGAACAATGTATTTGAGAGACAACAAGTACTCATTGTGCAAATGTATTTATGCTTTCAATAAACATTTGGAGATGAAATATAGTTTCCATGTTGTCAACAGTCTAAGCCAACCCTATCTGTTTTGCCCCATAGATGCGCAAGCATCAGTTTTGTTGCTAAACAAACAACCCATCTATGCAACAGTGGACTAATGAAAAAAATACTAAAAAGATAGTTTGAGTGTAGTATTCCTTTAGCGAGAATTAATAGCATTATTATAAGCAGTCTGCGGTAACACATTTCTATCCAGTGTTTTCACTTTAGTTGTAACTTTGAGTCAAATGCCTGGTCGGTAATTACAGACAAACACACATTAAAACAAGGTGCTTTTCCCACATGTCAACACAAAATTGGCTTCTCTTGGAAAATAGACACTTTATGTTAAGACTGAGGCCAAATTGTCCATGAGGGTTGAAGATGTGTTATTTTTATTGGGGTGAAAAATCTCAATAATTCTGGAGGGTTGGTAATTACATTAGCTCATGGTAATTATGCTAGCTCGTACGCAGCTACGCTAGCTCATACGTAGTTACGCTAGCTCATACGTAGTTACGCTAGCTCATACGTAGTTACGCTAGCTCATACGTAGCTACGCTAGCTCATACGTAGTTACGCTAGCTCATACGTAGTTACGCTAGCTCATACGTAGTTACGCTAGCTCATACGTAGTTACGCTAGCTCATACGTAGTTACGCTAGCTCCTGAGTCATCATTTGTCACTATCTTTTCTATACATTTCCTGAAAACATGGTCTATAACTCAGGTATTGACCTTAATTGTTTAAGGTTTGATATAAAGCTTCTACAGTGTAATATGGTGTTCATATTAGGACAGCCTCAATCTGAGGACTAGTATGGCCACCGTATAGGAACACTATGTTCAATATGGGGGGAATTCTGACCCAAGTTAAGGTAGCGTAAATCCCTTTTTATGCACTTTTCTATATGCGTATTTTGACCTTGAAATTAAAGTGGAACTGACAGCGTTTTAGCAACATGAAATATTATTAAAATCTGTTCACATACACCCCCAGGAAGAGTATATTTTTTTAAGCGAGCACTTAGATAGTCATGTTCATGTTTTCATACTTTCATAGAATGTTTGGGAATGACAGAGTAAGGCATTTCTGAAAATTCTATAGCAATATAGAGTGGGAATGAGGAGAATTAATAGACACTGCAGTAAAAAAAAACATTTGTCTTGTCCAGGACCGGACTCTACACAGACCGTGTGCCATAGCCAATCAGAGCTACAATAGGCCTATATGCAAATAAGCCTTTTGCCACAAGGGCCTGCCATCATTCACTTTCAACTGGACTGTGTTTACAGGCAGTAGCAACAGCGTTACTTCCTTCTGCAGCTTGCCTGCCAATGCATGCTTATCCCAACCCACGTTTTGAGTGGGAACTTGCCTGCCCGACCATTTGATCGATGCCAAATACATTTGATTGACAACTAAGAGATATGCTAACTATGGATAACAGTTGTTAAGTTCAGCATAGCTACCTAGCTAGCAAAGTGATTCAAATTTTTTGCTAGCTAACCAAATGACACCTTCACTCTAGCTGTAGCCACCGAAAATTGATATGGGGGGAAAAAAGTCATCCACTCACCTACTCGTCCAATGACATGACATCCTCCCAGCAGCTAGCTAGCTAACATTAGGCTCTGTGTTTTTAGCTTGCTAAATAGCTACATAAATAGATAAGTTAGCCTATTAGCCACGTTATTAGTCCGTTTTTGTATTGAGTCATTGAAACTGCATCCCGAATGGGTGGAGGCATAAACAATGTACCAGGCCAGCTGTGATTTTCATCCTAATAGCAATATTTGTTGGACTACCAAGACATGTATTGGTGAATTTATTTTTAAACTATTTTTTCTTAACTGATATCTTGGTTAAGGGCTTGTAAGTAAGCATTTCATGGTACAATTTACCAGGCGGTGATGCAACCTGTCAGGATGCTCTCAATGGTGCAGCTGAAGAACTTTGAGGATCTGAGGACCATTGCCAAATCTTTTCAGTCTCCTGAGGGGGAATAGGCATTCTTCACAAATGTCTTGGTGTGTTTCGACCATGATAGTTTGTTGGTGATGTGGACACGAAGGAACTTGAAGCTCTCGACCTGCTCCCACTACAGCCCCGTCGATGAAAATGGGGGCGTGCTCGGCCCTCCTTTTTCTAAAGTCCACGATCATCTCCTTTGTCTTGATCATGTTTAGGGAGAGGTTGTTGTCCTGGCACCACACTGCCAGGTCTCTGACCTCCTCCCTATAGGCTGTCTCATTGTTGTCGGTGATCAGGCCTACCACTGTTGTGTTGTTGGCAAACGTAATGATGGTTTTGGAGTCGTGCTTGGCCACGCAGTCGTGGGTGAACAGGGAATACAGGATGGGTCTAAGCACGCACCCCTGAGGTGCGTGGCAGATGGGATGTTGCCTACCCTCACCAACTGGGGGCGGCCCGTCATATGGAAGCAAATGGAAAATCATATCAACATGACATGTATTGCGGCCCCTTTTCTACAGTTAAGTAGGCTATAAATAGCTGTGCCGTTACTCAGAATTCTAATTGCATGACCTCATAATTTGCTGGATAAAATTTGGAGACCCAAGTTATAGGCTTCTGTAGGGCTGAACCTGCAGAGTTGATGTATGCGCTTTAAAATGTTTTAATTATATGCCAGCCTTTCTCAGTTTTATTTTACAATTTGTATCATGTTAAATATTATCCACTTTCGGGAGCCACCGTCAGTAATACCTACATACATTTATAACTGTCACTTTAGTGTTAGTTTATTTAAATTTGTAGCCTACATTTTGCATCATTCCATTCTGTTTCCCTTTCTTTCCTCTGTCACGTCCGTGTAGTTGTTCCTGAGGGTCGCTAGCATTAGTGGATCATATTAGGCTAACATTGTGCAATAATTTGGGACATGTAGTCTATTTGAATCATTATGGAACTCAGCCCACATGTAGCAGTTTAAACCTGGGTGCACTGTCCATGATGACTGGACCGTTGTCATACAGTTCCATGATTAATGAGGATTAGGGTAGATTTCTAGCACTTTTTTCCACCTTCCAATATTTCATAGATTGAACTTGATATGGCAACATTCAGGATGAATCAGGATGAATCAAACCACTATTTTTGATTCATCAATATACTTAGTGCGTAAAGGCTCTCCATACTTTCCTAACCCTAAAATGTGCCTAAATAATCTACAAGATCAGAGTATTTTTTTTATCTACCAATTGGTGCTGAAACAGAGACGAATATGCATACAGTGGGGAAAAAAAGTATTTAGTCAGCCACCAATTGTGCAAGTTTTCCCACTTAAAAAGATTAGAGAGGCCTGTAATTTTCATCATAGGTACACGTCAACTATGACAGACAAAATGAGGAAAAAAAATCCAGAAAATCACATTGTAGGATTTTTTATTAATTTATTTGCAAATTATGGTGGAAAATAAGTATTTGGTCAATAACAAAAGTTTCTCAATACTTTGTTATATACCCTTTGTTGGCAATGACACAGGTCAAACGTTTTCTGTAAGTCTTCACAAGGTTTTCACACACTGTTGCTGGTATTTTGGCCCATTCCTCCATGCAGATCTCCTCTAGAGCAGTGATGTTTTGGGGCTGTCGCTGGGCAACACGGACTTTCAACTCCCTCCAAAGATTTTCTATGGGGTCGAGATCTGGAGACTGGCTAGGCCACTCCAGGACCTTGAAATGCTTCTTACGAAGCCACTCCTTCGTTGCCCGGGCGGTGTGTTTGGGATCATTGTCATGCTGAAAGACCCAGCCACGTTTCATCTTCAATGCCCTTGCTGATGGAAGGAATTTTTCACTCAAAATCTCACGATACATGGCCCCATTCATTCTTTCCTTTACACGGATCAGTCGTCCTGGTCCCTTTGCAGAAAAACAGCCCCAAAGCATGATGTTTCCACCCCCATGCTTCACAGTAGGTATGGTGTTCTTTGGATGCATTCAGCATTCTTTGTCCTCCAAAAACGACGAGTTGAGTTTTTACCAAAAAGTTCTATTTTGGTTTCATCTGACCATATGACATTCCCCCAATCCTCTTCTGGATCATCCAAATGCACTCTAGCAAACTTCAGACGGGCCTGGACATGTACTGGCTTAAGCAGGGGGACACGTCTGGCACTGCAGGATTTGAGTCCCTGGCGGCGTAGTGTGTTACTGATGGTAGGCTTTGTTACTTTGGTCCCAGCTCTCTGCAGGTCATTCACTAGGTCCCCCCGTGTGGTTCTGGGATTTTTGCTCACCGTTCTTGTGATCATTTTGACGCCACAGGGTGAGATCTTGCGTGGAGCCCCAGATCGAGGGAGATTATCAGTGGTCTTGTATGTCTTCCATTTCCTAATACTTGCTCCCACAGTTGATTTCTTCAAACCAAGCTGCTTACCTATTGCAGATTCAGTCTTCCCAGCCTGGTGCAGGTCTACAATTTTGTTTCTGGTGTCCTTTGACAGCTCTTTGGTCTTGGCCATAGTGGAGTTTGGAGTGTGACTGTTTGAGGTTGTGGACAGGTGTCTTTTATACTGATAACAAGTTCAAACAGGTGCCATTAATACAGGTAACGAGTGGAGGACAGAGGAGCCTCTTAAAGAAGAAGTTACAGGTCTGTGAGAGCCAGAAATCTTGCTTGTTTGTAGGCGACCAAATACTTATTTTCCACCATAATTTGCAAATAAATTCATAAAAAATTCTACAATGTGATTTTCTGGATTTTTTTCTTCTCAATTTGTCTGTCATAGTTGACGTGTACCTCTGATGAAAATTACAGGCCTCTCTCATCTTTTTAAGTGGGAGAACTTGCACAATTGGTGGCTGACTAAATACTTTTTTTCCCCACTTTATATTTAGATTGATTTCTTTCATTGATCCCTATATTCTCAACCCGTTCTCTCTATGTATTCTAGTGAGTCTGCCGTTTCATTCCGGAACCCATTTGCCAGGATCCGGCATGAAAAATAATTTTCACTGTTTGCTTTTATTATAATTTTTACATTGCAATCAGAGTTATTTAAACTTTGACTCCTCTGTAATTCTCCTCCCCCCCTAAAAAACGTAATGTGAAAACGTGCCTGATATTCTAAGAATTGATTCACGTTGGGCCGGCCCGGGTTTATGGTTTTGCAATATTGTGGCCTATATAGACCAATGAATCAGCCATTGCTGTGGTGAGAGAAAGAAGCGTGCCTGTATCTTAACAGAACTACTGTAAAATTTGATTAACTTTCTATGATCTCTCTCCCTCTCTGCGCTGATAGACATGAGCCTTCAACTCATCTCTCCAGTGTTGCACTTCATCATTTATTTCCTTATAGAATCATAGCCGCGGGAAGTGTACTGGAGGTGCTGCACCACTGATAAATTGAAATACATTTCCCAAAGTTATAGAATTACTGCTGTCTGTTCAGAAATAAATGAAATAATTCAGAATACTACACCAGGAGTGAGCCTATATTTAGTCACAGAGGATCAATAGCTTATTTCTTTTTAAATAGCCTAGCTGTGGATTGTGTGTAGCCCAATAGCAAGGCATGCTTACAGTCGGGAACGCATGGCAAATCTGTCAGTGAACAGCATGCAGCCAAAACAGGCCTTTCGCAATATTTCAAATACAATCGCGGGAAAACACAGGTTGGAAAGCAAATGGATCCTGCTGAAAAGAGAAGACTAATATGTCTGTAGTCTACCAAGTTATCAACTTCCAAATACAGTGGGGAAAGAAAGTATTTAGTCAGCCACCAATTGTGCAAGTTCTCCCACTTAAAAAGATGAGAGAGGCCTGTAATTTTCATCATAGGTACACGTCAACTATGACAGACAAAATGAGAAGAAAAAAATCCAGAAAATCACATTGTAGGATTTTTAATGAATTTATTTGCAAATTATGGTGGAAAATAAGTATTTGGTCAATGACAAAAGTTTGTCAATACTTTGTTATATACCCTTTGTTTGCAATGACACAGGTCAAACGTTTTCTGTAAGTCTTCACAAGGTTTTCACACACTGTTGCTGGTATTTTGGCCCATTCCTCCATGCAGATCTCCTCTAGAGCAGTGATGTTTTGGGGCTGTCGCTGGGCAACATGGACTTTCAACTCCCTCCAAATATTTTCTATGGAGTTGAGATCTGGAGACTGGCTAGGCCACTCCAGGACCTTGAAATGCTTCTTACGAAGCCACTCCTTCGTTGCCCGGGCGGTGTGTTTGGGATCATTGTCATGCTGAAAGACCCAGCCACGTTTCATCTTCAATGCCCTTGCTGATGGAAGGAATTTTTCACTCAAAATCTCACGATACATGGCCCCATTCATTCTTTCCTTTACACGGATCAGTCGTCCTGGTCCCTTTGCAGAAAAACAGCCCCAAAGCATGATGTTTCCACCCCCATGCTTCACAGTAGGTATGGTGTTCTTTGGATGCAACTCAGCATTCTTTGTCCTCCAAACATGACGAGTTGAGTTTTTACCAAAAAGTTCTATTTTGGTTTCATCTGACCATATGACATTCTCCCAATCCTCTTCTGGATCATCCAAATGCACTCTAGCAAACTTCAGACGGGCCTGGACATGTACTGGCTTAAGCAGGGGGACACGTCTGTCACTGCAGGATTTGAGTCCCTGGCGGCGTAGTGTGTTACTGATGGTAGGCTTTGTTACTTTGGTCCCAGCTCTCTGCAGGTCATTCACTAGGTCCCCCCGTGTGGTTTTGGGATTTTTGCTCAACATTCTTGTGATCATTTTGACCCCACAGGGTGAGATCTTGCGTGGAGCCCCAGATCGAGGGACATTATCAGTGGTCTTGTATGTCTTCCATTTCCTAATAATTGCTCCCATAGTTGATTTCTTCAAACCAAATCAAATCAAATCAAATTTTATTGGTCACATGCGCCGAATACAACAGGTGCAGACATTACAGTGAAATGCTTACTTACAGCCCTTAACCAACAGTGCATTTATTTTAAACAAAAAAAGTAAGAATAAAACAACAACAAAAAAAGTGTTGAGAAAAAAAGAGCAGAAGTAAAATAAAGTGACAGTAGGGAGGCTATATATACAGTAAAATAAAGTGACAGTAGGGAGGCTATATATACAGGGGGGTACCGTTGCAGAGTCAATGTGCGGGGGCACCGGCTAGTTGAGGTAGTTGAGGTAATATGTACATGTGGGTAGAGTTAAAGTGACTATGCATAAATACTTAACAGAGTAGCAGCAGCGTAAAAAGGATGGGGTGGGGGGGGCAGTGCAAATAGTCCGGGTAGCCATGATTAGCTGTTCAGGAGTCTTATGGCTTGGGGGTAGAAGCTGTTGAGAAGTCTTTTGGACCTAGACTTGGCACTCCGGTACTGCTTGCCGTGCGGTAGCAGAGAGAACAGTCTATGACTAGGGTGGCTGGAGTCTTTGACAATTTTGAGGGCCTTCCTCTGACACCGCCTGGTATAGAGGTCCTGGATGGCAGGGAGCTTTGCCCCAGTGATGTACTGGGCCGTACGCACTACCCTCTGTAGTGCCTTGCGGTCAGAGGCCAAGCAGTTGCCATACCAGGCGGTGATGCAACCAGTCAGGATGCTCTCGATGGTGCAGCTGTAGAATTTTTTGAGGATCTGAGGACCCATGCCAAATCTTTTTAGTCTCCTGAGGGGGAATAGGCTTTGTCGTGCCCTCTTCACGACTGTCTTGGTGTGTTTGGACCATGATAGTTCGTTGGTGATGTGGACACCAAGGAACTTGAAGCTCTCAACCTGTTCCACTACAGCCCCGTCGATGAGAATGGGGGCGTGCTCAGTCCTCTTTTTTTTCCTGTAGTCCACAATCATCTCCTTTGTCTTGGTCACGTTGAGGGAGAGGTTGTTGTCCTGGCACCACACGGCCAGATCTCTGACCTCCTCCCTATAGGCTGTCTCATCGTTGTCGGTGATCAGGCCTACCACTGTTGTGTCGTCGGCAAACTTAATGATGGTGTTGGAGTCGTGCCTGGCCATGCAGTCATGGGTGAACAGAGAGTACAGGAGGGGACTGAGCACGCACCCCTGAGGGGCCCCCGTGTTGAGGATCAGTGTGGCAGATGTGTTGTTACCTACCCTTACCACCTGGGGGCGGCCCGTCAGGAAGTCCAGGATCCAGTTGCAGAGGGAGGTGTTTAGTCCCAGGATCCTTAGCTTAGTGATGAGCTTAGAGGGCACTATGGTGTTGAATGCTGAGCTGTAGTCAATGAACAGCATTCTCACGTAGGTGTTCCTCTTGTCCAGGTGGGAGAGGGCAGTGTGGAGTGCGATAGAGATTGCATCATCTGTGGATCTGTTGGGGCGGTATGCAAATTGAGTGGGTCTAGGGTTTCTGGGATTATGCTGTTGATGTGAGCCATGACCAGTCTTTCAAAGCACTTCATGGCTACAGACGTCAGTGCTACGGGTCGGTAGTCATTTAGGCAGGTTATCTTAGAGTTCTTGGGCACGGGGACTATGGTGGTCTGCTTGAAACATGTTGGTATTACAGACTCAGTCAGGGACATGGAACCAAGCTGCTTACCTATTGCAGATTCAGTCTTCCCAGCCTGGTGCAGGTCTACAATTTTGTTTCTGGTGTCCTTTGACAGCTCTTTGGTCTTGGCCATAGTGGAGTTTGGAGTGTGACTGTTTGAGGTTGTGGACAGGTGTCTTTTATACTGATAACATGTTCAAACAGGTGCCATTAATACAGGTAACGAGTGGAGGACAGAGGAGCCTCTTAAAGAAGAAGTTACAGGTCTGTGAGAGCCAGAAATCTTGCTTGTTTGTAGGTGACCAAATACTTATTTTCCACCATAATTTGCAAATAAATTCATTAAAAATCCTACAATGTGATTTTCTGGATTTTTAAAAATCATTTTGTCTGTCATAGTTGACGTGTACCTATGATGAAAATTACAGGCCTCTCTCATCTTTTTAAGTGGGAGAACTTGCGCAATTGGTGGCTGACTAAATACTTTTTTTCCCCACTGTAGACCTATTGAGCGAACAGCATTATTTAACAAAGTAAACAAGAGAGATAAGCTTTTGGCAAGAGCGCATTGGCTATCGCCGGTGAGTGAGCTGCTCATCATTGGGTGAGTAAGGGAAACTGGAAAGCTTTTTTAGGACTATAATTTCCTCCTCATATTGTACAATATGTGTCTCCCCGTACACCTAGGCTATTGATGTATTCAAGACAAGGTCGTTTTTATTGATCTCAGATTCTCAGTTTTCAGTGTCAAAGTAGCCTGCCATTTTGATAAGTTGTGAGGTATTAAAAAAGATTCTGCTAAAGTCTCCAGTCATCTAAAATGATGTAGAACTGCATGAAGTTAGTTTATAAAAGGCACCAAAAAAATCCTGGACCTAGGCTACAAAGTTTTTCCTCCATATGTGCAACTACTTTAATTGAAGTGCCTCTACTCTACTGCTCTATACCAGTACGCAAAAGTGTTGATAATGCATGCAATGCTTTATTATAAAGGTGATTTTTTTAAATGCATTTCGGTACCTCAGAGCCCCCCAGGTCAACCCAGTCTCGAGCTCACTTTTTTGTTCCGGCACCTCCCAAGTTACAAATTAAGCACTGGCATTAGGTAAGTCTGAATACCAACTACTGAAAAGTACGTAGGAAAGGCGTGCGTAGGAAAGGCATACATTTCCTAAGTCTGAATCAGGCCCCAAGTGCATCTTGTGGTCAAAAAATATTGTACTGTGCATTGTTTTCTCTCCCTATTAACGTTCTACAGACCTGTATGCCACCATCAATAGACATTTAAAGGATAACAAGTTTTACATTCACATGTTTGATGAAGATGCTCACAGGCATACTTTTGTTTTGTAAGTATACATGCTGTATACAGTATCTGTCTGTCAGTGTATTGGTGGTGATGTATGAGAGGAAGGAGGTGAGAATATAACAGAGCCAGTGAGGAAGGTGAGGAGGAGCAGGAGGAAGAGGAGGTGGTGAAGGAGGAGGAGGTGGTTAAGGAGAACGAGCAGGTGTAGGAAGAAGAGTTAGTGGGGGAGGATGTTTACTCACTCTGCATACAGAGTCCGTCAGTACAGTTCTGGGACTGTAGGACCATACCCTCGCAGTCCTTGCCTCCATTTTTGGGTGCAGGGGCAGTGCATTCTCTCCTGCGCCAGTGAGTGCACTCTGTACCACAGGTAGACCACTTACTCCACTCTGTCCACAACCCGTCAACTGTAGGGGAGAGAGAGATACAGGGTTCACTGGGATACAATATCAACACAGTTGATCTGGCTCTGAAGGTAAAATACAATACAAAACAGAGTTAGATGGAATAGTATAAAACAGAATATATTTTAATATACTATAGAACACAACAAAATGGAACAGAGTAGACTAGAACAGAACACAACATAATAGAACAGAGTAGACTAGAACACAACAGAATAGAACAGAATAGACTAGAACACAACAGAATAGAACAGAATAGACTAGAACACAACAGAACAGAATAGACTAGAACACAACAGAACAGAATAGACTAGAACAGAACACAACAGAATAGACTAGAACAGAACACAACAGAATAGACTAGAACAGAACACAACAGAATAGACTAGAACAGAACAGAACAGAATAGACTAGAACAGAACACAACAGAATAGACTAGACCAGAACAGAACACAACAAAACAGTATATGTGTCCATACCAGTGCAGAGGGAGGTGCATGCCAGCTTCTGGGTGGCCTGTCCATCACAGGGGGCTCCTCCGTTGAGCGGGGCGGGGTTGGTACAGCTGCGGGTACGCTTTTGGTAACCGCGGCCACAGCGACTGTTACACACCGACCACTCTGTCCATGTCGACCAGCCGCCGTTCACTATGGTAACAGAATGGAGAGCATAAACGTCTACACACACAAAACAGTTTGAATCTCGTCTTATCTTTGAATATTGGTACCATTTTTGTTTTATTGTTGATGCGTGATCAGAGGGATATGCCAGTACAGGCAGGGCTAAAAATTGATTCTTCCCGGTACGGGACCTCCTACAGTGGTGTCCGAAATTAACACCCTTGATAAAGATGAGCAATAATGACTGTATAAAATAAATTAAATACTGAGCTACATTGTATCCTCAAAAATATAGGGAAATTATATTATTTTACACTAATACAATTGCTCAGAGAAAGATTTTGTTTAACAAGTAATATTTTTGTTAAAGGTAGGGGTCAAAATTGATACCCCAAAAGTGTAGTATTTGTTCACATATTCCTAAGCTCATACCCTCATAACCTCTCGCCATTACCAATAACAGGGGAGGATAGCATGTCTTGGGGTATGATCTTTGACCCTCTGTAACCTTATCACGCCTCATTATTCACGATTCATTCAGTATTATCCATAATCATGGTAGACTCCACATTAATGTTGAAGTGTTTAGAAACATATTATATTCTTATTTACAATAAAAGTGACTACAGAATGTCAAAATACATTACTTACTATTAATTTCTATTGGGCAATCTGAAACAACCAAAATGAACTTGTAACGTCCCCCAGCAAGAAAACCAAAAATTGTCGCTTAAACAGAAAGGGGAAATAATAAAGTCACTGACAATAACTAAAACGAAACAGGTGGGGTTTAGGAGGGGTTCGGAAAGACACTCTTGGGCGTGTCCACATGCACAAGAAGAGGCAAATAAAAGAAGAACCACACACCAAATTAAAAGACAGGAAGCAAACACCTTCCCTCTAATGAGATGACCAACCAGCACAGGTGTAATACGGACTGACTAACGAGGTCACAACAATCGGTGCACCTTAATTGCTAACGTGGAAACTCGAAATACAAAATGGAAAAACCAAAGCCAGTAACACCTTCCCCCTTACCCTATATTTTTGTTGGACAAGTTTGCTCACAACCAACGGAAAATAACTTCCATCTCACAACATGATCAACTTAAATGTGTCGCTACTTATATGCGTCGCCTTCTCCATACAAACATGGCGTCTACTGGCTGTCATCAAAATGAAGACAAAACACATTTACATATTTTTTTATATAGTTGGCTAAAACTCAGAGGTTTTGAGAAAAAAGGCTAAAATAATGTACGTTTCTAATGCTCTCGTCCCCTTGGAACGAGCGCAACCAAAACAAAACTCATTTCCAAAACGGCAAAACGTGCAGTCAAAATAAATTGTGAGCCAGGGCTATACACTGGCTAAACACAAAACACAACGTATTGACTGACCTCAGACCTCAGGTGACAAGTGTGCCAAAAGGTTTTCTAGAGTCTCTGAGTTACTCAACCGTCCTACCGTCACAGGGTGTATTGGACTTTCCTCATACTCTTGAGGAAGACTAGAGTCAATGGTGACAGCAGTGGCTACATGCAGAACATCACTACCAGTTTCCACTGACTTCTCCGCCCGATCGTAATGGGTGAAGTATGGTTTCAACATGTTGACATGATACAGCCAGGTTTTTTTCCCTGCGCTCCGGTGTGGCAATGATGTAATCCAGGTTACCAATTTTTTTCAATATAGGGTAAGGGCCTGAAAAGCGAGCCTGTAACGGTGACCCCAGAAGGGTAACAAAACCAGGACTTGGTCACCCACATCGAAAGTGCAGTTTTGGGCCTTTCAATCGAACCAAACTTTAAGAATCTCCATCTCTGGGCCTCCGAGTGCCGCAGCGGTCTAAGGCACTGCATCGCAGTACTAGAGGCATCACTACAGACCAGGGTTTGATCCTGGGCTGTATCACAACCGGCCGTGATCGGGAGTCCCATAGGGCGGCGCACAATTGGCCCAGCGTCGTCCGGGTTCGGGGAGGGTTTGGCCGGGGGGGCTTTACATGGCTCATAGCGCTCTAGCGACTCCTTGTGGCGGGCCGGCTGCCTGCAGGCTGACCTCGGTCATCAGTTGAACGGTGTTTCAAATCAAATCAAATTTTATTTGCCACATGCACAGAATACAACAAGTGTAGACATTACAGTGAAATGCTTACTTACAAGCCCTTAACCAACAATGCAATTTTTAAAGAATAAAAAAATATAAAAATAAAAAGCAAACAACTAAAGAGCAGCAGTAAAATAAAATAACAGTAGGGAGGCTATCTACAGGGGGGTACCGGTGCAGAGTCAATGTGCGGGGGCACCGGCTAGTCGAGGTAATTGAGGTAATATGTACATGTGGGTAGAGTTAAAGTGACTATGCATAAATAATAGACAGAGTAGCAGCAGCGTAAAAGAGGGGGGTGGGGATGGGGGGGCAGTGCAAATAGTCCGGGTAGCAATGATTAGCTGTTCAGGAGTCTTATGGCTTGGGGTAGAAGCTGTTGAGAAGCCTTTTGGACCTAGACTTGACGCTCCGGTACCGCTTGCTGTGCGGTAGCAGAGAGAACAGTCTATGACTAGGGTGGCTGGAGTCTTTGACAATTTTGAGGGCCTTCCTCTGACACCGCCTGGTATAGAGGTCCTGGATGGCAGGAAGCTTGGCCCCAGTGATGTACTGGGCTGTACACACTACCCTCTGTAGTGCCTTGCAGTCGAAGGCCGAGCAGTTGCCATACCAGGCAGTGATGCAACCAGTCAGGATGCTCTCGATGGTGCAGCTGTAGAGCTTTTTGAGGATATGAGGACCCATGCCAAATCTTTTCGGTCTCCTGAGGGGGAATAGGCTTTGTCGTGCCCTCTTCACGACTGTCTTGGTGTCTTTGGACCATGATAGTTCGTTGGTGATGTGGACACCAGGAACTTGAAGCTCTCAACCTGTTCCACTACAGCCCCGTCGATGAGAATGGGGGCGTGCTCAGTCCTCTTTTTTTCCCCTGTAGACCACAATCATCTCCTTTGTCTTGATCACGTTGAGGGAGAGGTTGTTATCCTGGCACCACACGGCCAGGTCTCGGACCTCCTCCCTATAGGCTGTCTCATTGTTGTCGGTGATCAGGCCTACCACTGTTGTGTCGTCAGCAAACTTAATGATGGTGTTGGAGTCATGCCTGGCCATGCAGTCATGGGTGAACAGGGAGTACAGGAGGGGACTGAGCACGCACCCCTGAGGGGCCCCCGTGTTGAGGATCAGCGTGGCAGATGTGTTGTTACCTATCCTTACCACCTGGGGGCGGCCCGTCAGGAAGTCCAGGATCCAGTTGCAGAGGGAGGTGTTTAGTCCCAGGATCCTTAGCTTAGTGATGAGGTTTGTGGGCACTATGGTGTTGAACGCTGAGCTGCAGTCAATGAATAGCATTCTCACGTAGGTGTTCCTCTTGTCCAGGTGGGAAAGGGCAGTGTGGAGTGCAATAGAGATTGCATCATCTGTGGATCTGTTGGGGCGGTATGCAAATTGGAGTGGGTCTAGGGTTTCTGGGATGATGGTGTTGTTCAAAGCACTTCATGGCTACAGACGTGAGTGCTACGGGTCGGTAGTCATTTAAGCAGGTTATCTTAGTGTCCTTGGGCACAGGGACTACGGTGGTCTGCTTGAAACATGTTGGTATTACAGACTCAGTCAGGGACATGTTGAAAATGTCAGTGAAGACACTTTCCAGTTGGTCAGCACATGCTCGGAGTACACGTCCTAGTAATCCGTCTGGCCCTGCGGCCTTGTGAATGTTGACCTGCTTAAAAGTCTTACTCACATCGGCTACGGAGAGCGTGATCACATAGTCATCCGGAACAGCTGGTGCTCTCATGCATGCTTCAAGCAAGCATAGAAGTGATTTAGCTCGTCTGGTAGGCTTGTGTCACTGGGCAGCTTGCGGTTGTGCTTCCTTTTGTAGTCTGTAATAGTTTTCAAGCCCTGCGACATCCGACGAGTGTCAGAGCCGGTGTAGTACGATTCAGTCTTAGTCCGGTATTGACTCTTTGCCTGTTTGATGGTTTGTCGGAGGGCATAGCGGGATTTCTTTTAAGCGTCCGGGTTAGAGTCCCGCTCCTTGAAAGTGGCAGCTCTACCCTTTAGCTCAGTGCGGATGTTGCCTGTAATCCATGGCTTCTGGTTGGGGTATGTACGTACGGTCACTGTGGGGACGACGTCATCGATGCACTTATTGATGAAGCCAGTGACTGATGTGGTGTACTCCTCAAAGCTATCTGAAGAATCCCGGAACATATTCCAGTCTGTGCTAGCAAAACAGTCCTGTAGCTTAGCATCTGCATCATCTGACCACTTTTTTATTAACCGAGTCACTGGTGCTTCCTGCTTTAGTTTTTTGAATCAGGAGGATAGAGTTATGGTCAGATTTGCCAAATGGAGGGCGAGGGAAATCTTTGCATGTGTCTCTGTGTGTGGAGTAAAGGTGGTCTAGAGTTTTTTTCCCCTCTGGTTGCACATTTAACATGCTGGTAGAAATGAGGTAGAACGGATTTAAGTTTCTCTGCATTAAACCCATGGGGCGGCGCACAATTGGCCCAGCGTCGTCCAGGGTAGGGGAGGGAATGGCCGGCAGGGGATTTAGCTCAGTTCGTAGAGCATGGCGTTTGCAACGCCAGGGTTGTGGGTTCGATTCCCACCGGGGGTATGAAAAAAAAAAAAAAAATTGTAATGTATGCACTAACTGTAAGTCGCTCTGGATAAGAGCGTCTGCTAAATGACTAAAAATGTAAAAATGTAAAATTAAAGTCCCCGGCCACTAGGAGCGCTGCCTCTGGGTGAGCGTTTTCCTGTTTACTTACTGTATGGCCTTATACAGCTCATTGAGTGCAATCTTAATGCCCGCATCGGTTTGTGGTGGTAGATAGACAGCTATGAAAAATATAGATGAAAAGTCTCTTGGTAAATAGTGTGGTCTACAGCTTATCATGAGATACTTTACCTCAGGCGAGAAAAACCTTGAGATTCCTTAGTATTAGATTTTGTGCACCAACTGTTGTTTACAAATATACACAGACCGCCACCCCTTGTCTTACCTGAGTCAGCCGTTCTATCCTGCCGGAATGGGGATCCTAATAAATACAAATACAAATACCGGCTGCTTAAGAGCATTGCCACTCTGCAGAGACACGAACCTGTCTGAAACAAAGGGTTACACATCTGATCCAAAATCTTGTTTAGGAGATACACCAGTCCCAACCAGAGACTTAACGGGCTGGATTGCTCCCACAAGAAGAAATAGCTTTTCTCACTCTCATTTTTCTTTTTCAATTTAGAGACAATGTGTCCTTTCTCAGGGCAGTAATGACAAACTGGTGGATACGAAAAACCAGTTTTCTGCCGATCTTTATCTTTGGCCACTGTAGAAAAAGACTGAAACCTCACAGTATGAGGTGACTTCTCTGGATTGCTTTTTGCGTAGGGATAACTACTGGGTGCTTTGTTTGTGAAGGTCGTTTTATGTGTGAACACAAACTCATCTGCAAGAACTACAGCTTTCTCAAGAGTGAGATCTTTGTGCTCATAAATGTAGGTAGCAACCCTTTGGTGAAGGCAATTCTTGAACTGCTCGAGATGTATGAGAGCCTTTAAATCCTCAAGGTCCTTGACCTCTTGAGAACCACACCACCGATTAAAAAGACATGCTTGTTCCCTTGCCAACTCAACATGGCTTTGTGATTCTGTCTTTTGTAATTTACGGAACTGTTGTCTGTATGCCTCTGGGACCAACTCGTAAGCCCAAAGGATAGTAGCTTTAACAGTGTCATAATCTGAACTCTGGTCAAGAGATAAAGCGGCGTACACTTTCTGAGCTTTTCCCACAAGAACAGGAGGAGGAGTGGTGACCAAATATCTTGTGGCCATTTTAGGGATGTGTCAATCCGCTCAAACAGAGTAAAATATACATCCTCCTCCTTTTCGTTGAAAGGCGGTACAAGTCGGCTCTTCCGACCAAGATCAAACTCTGTTGCGGGTGTAGGATGGCCTGATTGGATTTGGAGTGCTTCCAGATCTATCTCCCTTTGTCGCGCTTCCAGCTCCATCTCTTTCAATCGAATGGCATGTGCACGTTCTTCTTCTTCTTCTTGTTTTAGTCTGTTGTCTTCCCTTTCCTTGAGCTCTAATTTCGGTTGTTCCCATTTTGCCTTCAGTTCTACCTCTCTCAGTTGTACGTCTATGGGGTGTCCTCTACCATATATATCTCTATGGGGTGTCCTCTACCATATATATCTCTATGGGGTGTCCTCTACCATATATATCTCTATGGGGTGTCCTCTACCACCCGTAGGAACCTCTTCATCATCCTCCCTCTCCAGAAGGATTTCCTCCTCCACCAAAGCAGTACGGATCAACTCTTTGACTACTGCTTTTGGATCGCCAGATGCCATCTTGATGTCATAATGCTTTGAAATTACGAGCAGACTCGCATTTGTACATTTAGCTAGCATCTCCCATGTAGGCTTTCCAGATGTGCTCAGGGTGGATGTCAGATACAGGAATTCTACCACAAAATTGTATTTTTTAACAATAAAATATCCGGGCACAGCAGAAGTAGGTGATTAGAGAGACTACCATACTCATGGGAAACAAGATCCCGGACGAGCCCCCAATCTGTTACATTCCCCAGCAAGACAACCAAAAATTATTGCTCAAACAGAAAGGGGAACTAACAAAGAGTCACTGACAACAACCAAAACGAAACAGGTGGGGTTTTAGGAGGGGTTTGGAAAGACACTCTTGGGCGTGTCCACTGACAGTTGACTAGCAACAACAACTGGGACCTAAAAGACACCCACCATGAGTGGCCACTAAATGTGCCCAAGAAGAGGCAAACAAAAGAAAAACCACACACAAAACTGAAAGACAGGAAGTAAACCAAAAAGTGGAGCAAAATGAAAACAGGGACGATCAGATAAAGGATAGAACTAGAACTGTCTAGAACTCAAAATAGGGAGCGCCAATGAAAGGTATTAACCCTCCGTCTCTCAAGACAACTGGAGCACTGGGCCAGCACAGGTGAAACACCTTCCTTCTAACGAGATGACCAACCAGTACACAGACTGACTAACGAGGTGATGCCAATCGGTGTGCCCCACGTGCTAACGTCCAACCTCGAAATATAAATCATAAAAACAAAAGCCTGTATTTGTCTTTGTATTTATTATGGATCCCCATTAGTTCCTGCCAAGGCAGCAGCTACTCTTCCTGGGGTCCAGCAAAATGAAGGCAGATATACATTTTAAAAACATTACAATACATTCACAACAGATTTCACAACATATTAAGTGTGTGCCCTCAGGCCCCTACTCTACTACCACATATCTATAACACAAAATGCATGTGTACATGTGTGTATAGTGTGTATGTTATAGTGTGTTTGTATGCATGTGTCTATTTTTGTGTTGCTTCACAGTCCCCGCTGTTCCACAAGGTGTATTTCTATCTGTTTTTTAAATGTAATTTTACTGCTGGCATTAGTTACTTGATGTGGAATAGAGTTCCATGTAGTCATGGCTCTATGTAGTACTGTGCACCTCCCATAGCCTGTTCTTGACTTGGGAACTGTGAAGAGACCTCTGGTGGCATGTCTTGTGGGGTATGCATGGGTGTCTGAGCTGTGTGCCAGTAGTTCAAACAGACAGCTCAGTGCATTCAACATGTCAATACCTCTCACAAATACAAGTAGTGATGAAGTCAATCTCTCCTCCACTTTGAGCCAGGAGAGATTGACATGCATATTATTAATGTTAACACTTTGTGTACATCCAAGGGCCAGCCGTGCTGCCCTGTTCTGAGCCAATTGCAATTTTCTTAAGTCCCTCTTTGTGGCACCTGACCACACGACTGAACAGTAGTCCAGGTGCGACAAAACTAGGGCCTGTAGGACCTGCCTTGTTGATAGTGCTGTTAAAAATGCAGAACAGCACTTTATTATAGATAGACTTCTCTCCATCCTAGCTACTGTTGTATCAATATGTTTTGATCATGACAGTTTACAATCCAGGGTTACTCCAAGCGATTTAGTGTCCTCAACTTGCTCAATTACCACATTATTCATTACAAGATTTAGTTGAGGTTTAGGGTTTAGTAAAATGATTTGTCCCAAATACAATGTTTTTAGTTTTTTAAATATTTAGGACTAAATTATTCCTTGCCACCCATTCTGAAACTAACTGCAGCTCTTTGTTAAGTGTTGCTGTCATTTCAGTCGCTGTGGTAGTTGACGTGTTGAGTCATCCTCATACATAGACACACTGGCTTTACTCAATTTGAATTATTTATTTTACAGTCATTATTGCTAATCTTTATGAAGGGTGTCAATAACTTAAAACCCCACTGTATGTGTGCATGCACTATTTTCTATAGGCCTGTGGTGCTGGATGAGGCAAGCCTTCTTACCGCGCCCTTCCAGAACCTTTCCTGCACTGTTGGGAGGCTAATGGAGCCCAGCTGAGGGTAATAAGTCAATCAAGTGTGTGATTGGCTGGACAATCAGCCCAACAGTTGATTAGGCTGCTGCTGCTGTCATTTGAGGGAGAGGACTGGAGACAGCAGCAGACAGGTTCGGTCTGAAGGACACTCAGGTTAAGATAACGGCTGTGAGTTGAAGTTATACTTTAAGCTTCTTATTTGTAAGCATTTCTGTTGGTCAATTATGAAATAAAAGTTACGTTTGAACTGTTTACTCTGCCTCGCTGACCCTGAGACCATGGCAGTGGCCTCTCCCCTGGCTCTGTCACAGGTCCTAGTAATAAAGATGTCATATAACCTAATGTATTACCTTTTAAATGGGGCATGAACACAACCAACCAGGCATGACGTTTTCATCTGATTGGCGGGGATGTTTTAAAGCAGATTTCCTGCAATTCTACACATTTTGTCATGGGGCTGAGAGAAAGAAAAAAAGCAATTTTAAAGCTCATTTCCTGCAATTCCACACATTTTGCCATGGCTTAAGCTGTGTACTTATGCTATCTGAGTGAATCAAAATATTATAACACAGTCCATGGGGGCCCAATGCCATGACATTTTTTTTTAGAATTTTAGATTCTGCGTGACTGTCTAGTTTTATTCTGGTGGTTGTTAGTTCCCAGAGATGATCTTTTAAAAAATGTATAGCGCCGTTATCTTTTCTATATAATTTATATCTGGTTTTAGTTTACACTGAAAACATTTTACTATCCTGAAAATGAGTTAGTGGGCAGACATGATTTAGCAGCGTTGGCCTGCTGCTACTAAATGAATACAGTGGCTTGTGAAAATATTCACCCCCCTTTGCATTTTTCCTATTTTGTTGCCTTACAACCTGGAATTAAAATGGATTTTTGGGGGGTTTGTATCATTTGATTTACACAACATGTCTACCACTTTGAAGATGCAACTTTTTTTTGTGTGAAGCAAACAAGAAATAAGACAAAAAAAACTGAACTTGAGTGTGCATAACTATTCACCCCCCCAAAGTCAATACTTTGTAGAGCCACCTTTTGCAGCAATTACAGCTGCAACTCTCTTGGGGTATGTCTCTATAAGCTTGGCACGTCTAGCCACTGGGATTTTTGCCCATTCTTCAAGGCAAAACTGCTCCAGCTCCTTCAAGTTGGATGAGTTCTGCTGGAGTACAGCAATCTTTAAGTCATACCACAGATTCTCAATTGGATTGAGGTCTGGGCTTTGACTAGGCCATTCCAAGACATTTAAACGTTTCCCCTTAAACCACTCAAGTGTTGCTTTATCAGTATGCTTAGGGTCATTGTCCTGCAGGAAGGTGAACCTCCGTCCCAGTCTGAAATCTCTGGAAGACTGAAACAGGTTTCCCTCAAGAATTTCCCTGTATTTAGCGCCATCCATCATTCCTTCAATTCTGACCAGTTTCCCAGTCCCTGCCGATGAAAAACATCCCCACAGCATGATGCTGCCACCACCATGCTTCACTGTGGGGATGGTGTTCTCGGGGTGATGAGAGGTGTTGGGTTTGCGCTAGCAATAGTGTTTTCCTTGACGGCCAAAAAGCTCAATTTTAGTCTCATCTGACCAGAGAACCTTCTTCCATACGTTTGGTGTATTAGTACCTTCTTCCACACCAAACGTGTTTGCTTATTTTTTTCCGTAAAGCCCAACTCTGTGGAGTGTACGGCTTAAAGTGGTCCTATGGACAGATACAACAATCTCCGCTGTGGAGAGGCCTCTTCCTTGGTACTGGGGCTGGCTGTGCCAGCAGGCCTTGGTACTGGGGCTGGCTGTGCCAGCAGGCCTTGGTACTGGGGTTGGCTGTGCCAGCAGGCCTTGGTACTGGGGCTGGCTGTGCCAGCAGGCCTTGGTACTGGGGCTGGCTGTGCAAGCAGGCCTTGGTACTGGGGCTGGCTGTGCCAGCAGGCCTTGGTACTGGGGCTGGCTGTGCCAGCAGGCCTTGGTACTGGGGCTGGCTGTGCCAGCAGGCCTTGGTACTGGGGCTGGCTGTGCCAGCAGGCCTTGGTACTGGGGCTGGCTGTGCAAGCAGGCCTCTCCTGTTACCTCCACACATGTGCATTGTCCATAACACTGCCCTCAAAGGGAGCTATTCTGTCCAATGTAGTTTCCTCCACCCGTTAAAACCAAGTTTACAGCCTTTCTCTGCTTCCGACACACACATGCACACACTCAAATGTTTCTGAACAAACCAGAGCTGTGCTGCTCTGCAAAGTGCTTTACCCTAACCTCTTTAGAGGCTGCAGAAGGAACATATGAACTTTCCTGAGAGTACCCCAAGAACTTAAAGACGTTTGTGATTTCACATCCTCTCTGGAATTTGGGCCATACTGATGATGCACTCAGGGCCTTTCTCTTTTTGAGTCTGTAATATCTCTCTATGCATGTGTGTGTGTGTTTGTGTGTGTATACACATTTGTGTTTCATTTGCTTGCCAAGTGGTTTTGTCTGCTCCAACAAGAAAGGTGTTTGGGTAAGGATTTATTGGGGGATTTGGGGAAATGGGGAAAAGTTAACCCCCCCGCCAAAACAAAAAAAACCAAAACCTTTCCCCAAAGGGGCCCGGGGAACCCGGGGGAACGGCACCCCGACAGGCTACGAAAAAACTTGGGAAATTTAAAAAGGCACCAAAAGGGGCCCCAAAAACCCCGGAACCCTTTTAAAAAGCAAAAAAGGGGGGCCAAAACCACCCAAAAGGGGGAAAAAAAAAAAAAAAATGAAAAAAGGGGACAAAATTTTGTAGAGAAAAAAAACAAAACCCCAGAAAAAAAAGGAAAGAAAAAAACAAAAAACATCCCTTTTTTCCCTTGCCCATTTATAAAAACCCCCCCTTTGCCCCCAAAAAAACCCCCCCCCCCCCCCGCCCAAAAACCCCAAAAACCCCCCCCCCTTCCCCCCTTTCCCCCCCCCCTTTTCCCCCCCTTTCCCCCCCCCCCCCCCTTTTGGGGCCCCCCCCCCGGCCCCTTTAAAAATTTAAAAATTTTTTCTTTTTTAAAAAAAAAAATTTTTTTTTAAGATTTTTTTTTTAAAAAATTTTTTTTTAAAAAATTTTTTAAAAAAAAAAAAAAAATTTTTTTAAAAACCCTTTTTAAAAAAATTTTTTTTTAAAAAAATTTTTTTTTTCAAAATTTTTTTTTTTCTTTTTTTTTTCCCCTTTATTAAAATTTTTTTTTTAAAAAATTTTTTTTTTTCTTTTTATTAAATAAAACCCCCCTTTCACATCCTCTCTGGAATTTGGGCCATACTGATGATGCACTAAGGGCCTCTGGTCTCTTTGTGAGTCTGTAATTATCTCTCTATGCATGTGTGTGTGGGTGTGTTTGTGCGTGTGTATACACATTTGTGTTCATTGATTGCCCATGCAAGTGTGTGGTTGTCTACGCTCACATTGCAAGAGTGTTTGGTACAGGATGTGATATTTGGGAGGATTGGATTGGGGGATAATCATTGTGGACGACGTCTCTCTCGCGACGCCCCCCCCACGAGCGCGCGCGCCCCCCTAGCGCCCCCCGGCGCGCCCGCGGGCTCGAGCACGCGCGCGCAGCCCGCAGAGCGGGCCCCCGCCGCGCTCCCGCGAAGTCACGCGGATCTAGATTCGCAAAGCAGTCGAGGGTCAGATAGGATAGAGCAGCTATATAAAGCGAGATAGAGCGACAAAGCAGAGCGTAACCCAGAGAGAGAAAGACCGCGCGAGCCCGAGGTAGCGACGCGGCAAGACCCAAACAGCCGAGACGGGCGACAGAAGATAACCGACCAAGAGCGAGCAAGGGAGCGAGAGAGAGCGCGCCGCGCGAGAGAGAGAGAGTGGGGAAGAGAGAGCAGCGCGCAGAGCACCGCAAAAAGAAAGCACAGAAAAAAAAACAACGAGAGAGAGAAGCGAGAGAGATAGAAAACGCGAGGAAAGAGGGGGGGGCAAGAAGAGAAAGCGATAGAGAGTGAAAGAAGAAGAGAGGGCAAAAAGAGTAAGAGAGAACAAACATTTAACAACACCCACTAACCTCTCCAAACCTCATCCATCTCTCTCCCCCTCCCTCCCGCCCTCAATCCCTCCTCTCTCTCCCCTCACTACCGCGATCTATCCCCTCTCTCTCCGCGCTTAATCTACCTCGCCTAGCATCTCCCTTCGTCTCCATCTCCCTCTCATTATATGTATATATATAATCAAGAGAACAAAAGAAAGTCAAAAAGAAAGAAAGAAAAAGTATAGAGAGAGAGAGGAAAGCGATGAAGACGCGAGATCGGGGAAATATATGGTTCAAGGAGAGAAATAGAGATAAGTAAGAGAGGAAAAAAAAGAGAGAGCAAGGAGAGAGAAACAAGAGATAAAGAAGGAGGAAAAAAAAGGATCAAAAAAGAGAAAAAGGAAGGAGAAAGAGAGAGAAAAGAGGAGGAGGGGAGAGAGGAGGGGAGAGAGAGGAGAAAAAGAGAGGAAAAGAGAGAGAAAGAGAGAGAAAAAGAGAGAGAGAAAGGGGGAGAATAGAGAAGGCGAAAGAGTTTTCTCCTTCTCTCTCTTCCCCCATCTCTCTCTATCTCTGCACCTCTCCCTCTCTTTCCTCCCCTCCCTCTTTCCCTCCCTCTCCCCGCCTCGCCCTCTCCCCCCCCCCGCTCCTCTCTCTCTCTCTCCCCCCTCTCTCCCTCGCTCTCCTCTCTCTCCTACCCTCTCTGTCCCATCTTGTTCACTTCCTCTCACTCCCTTCTGCTCCTCTCTCTCTCTCTTCCCTCCCTCTCTTTCCCCACTCCTCTCTCCCCCACCCTCCCCCACTCACCTCTCCCTCCCCCTCCCTCCCTCCATCTCCCTCTCCCTCCCCTCTCCCCCCTCTCTCTCCTCTCCTCTCTCTCCTCCCCCCCTCTCTCTCATCTCCCTCGTCTCCTCATCTCGCTTCGTCTCCATCTCCCTCTCATATATATATATATATATATATATATATATATCCCTCTCCCCCCCTCCCTCCCCCTCTCTCCCCCTCTCCCCCTCTCTCTCTCTCCTCACCTCTCCCTCTCTCTCTCTCTGTCCTCTCTGTTCACTTCTCGCCATCTCTCTCCGTCTCTCCCCCCCTCTCTCTCCCCCCCTCTCTCTCCCTCTCTCTCTCCCCCTCTCCTCTCCGTCCTCCCCCCCCCTCCCCTCCCTCTCTATCCCTCTCTCTCTTGCTCCCTCTCGTTCTCTCTCTCTCTACCCCCGTCTCTCTCCCCTCTCCCATCTCTCTCCTCCCTCCTCTCCCCCTCCTCTCCCTCCCTCTCCTCTCCCTCCTTCTCCCCCTCTCTCATCTTCTTCTCCCTCTCTCCCTACCCTCTCTCCCTCTCTCTCCTCTCTCTTTGTCATTTTATCGCTCCCCCCTTCCCCCTCTCCCTCCCTCCCTCCCTACCTCCCTCCCTCACTCCCTCCCTCCCTCCTCCCTCGCTCTCTCTCCCCTTCCCTCCCTCCCTCCCCACTCTATCGCTCTCTCCCCCAATCTTCTCTCTCTCTCCCCCCATCTATCTCTCTCCCTCTCAAAAGGCCTAATTTCTATCCCTTCTTCATTTGCATGTGTCAGAGAGAGAGAGAGAGTGAGAGAGAGAGAGAGCAGGATGTATTCCAACGAAGTCATCAGAGGCTGAGCAGACATAAAGCTTCCTCCGCTTCTCATTTCTAACGGCGATAATGACTGCTTAAACGCGCGCCAGCATTGCTCAGGAGTCACACGCCCATTACATGCACACACATGCGCGCAAACCCGCACAAACAAACACACACACACAAACACGCACTCCGATGCTTTCCGACGTGTTTGTCTTCACTCCACTGTCTCTACAACACTCATTAGTTAGCAGCACATTCTCAGACTCTGCAGCAACAAACTCTCCTTCCCACTGCTATAATAACCTCCCATCACACAATGGCAGTTCTCAGAAAATGCATAGAAAACATAGTCCACACAATCCGGCACTGGGTTGAGCTGCTATGGAGAACAATTACAATGTGACAGTGACAAAAGCCTGATGGGAGAGAGTGGCTTGAGTAAGACTTAATTAATAATATATGCCATTTAGCATTTTTTGGTAAGGGTGGAATCAGCAGGAATCGAATCCATGACCATTGACATTGCAAGCGCCATGCTCTACCAACTGAGCCACACATGACCTTTCAGATTTCTCTTTCATACAAATATGAAATAAATATTTATGTTTAGTTGAATAGTTAATTCTGTTGGTATTCAATTAATGTGTCTGTCAGTAGGAAATAAAATACGAAGCCCCTAACCAAACTGTTCTCTATTAAAGGGGTAATCTGAAATTGGTGAATCCATTTTTGGACTTTCAAATTGTTGATATATTGCCATTGATTCTTGAAGAATATAACTTACATTTCTCCAGCCCTATCCCTCAGCTGTTTAAAACAGTGGTGCTGTGACAACTGTGTTGTTATTTGAATTGCTGATTTCCCCTTTAAGAGATAATTGTAGTTGAGTGGCCTGCAGAGAAGAAGGTGTTGAGCCTGGTGTCTGGTAGAAATTGGAAAATGTTGAAGCTGAAATTCGTCGTGACCGATCTCTAACTATGTGTGTGTGTGTCTGTGTGTGACCCCTCTCTCACTACTAAATAGCATCCATCTGAAAGCCAGTAGGGAACTCCTCCATCAGAATGGGAGTAATACGTTGCTTCTCCTGAAAAATATGTATTTCTCCTTCTCTGAACTGGTGCTGGCCCTCTGAAAAAAGCCCTCTGAGAATAACAGAGAGAAGATGTTCAATATGCTCCTGTAAAGGGGTGGTGGTGTTGTGGGTAAAACATGAAGATATGTTTCTCTTTACAGGTTATAGGTTACAGGTTATAGGTTATAGGAAGATATGCTTCTCTTTACAGATACAACCTGACATTCAGATACATTCAGTCACTATGACCACGCCCTCATTCCCTACTTCCCACAAATCTAAAACCATTTGATTGGTAGAGGCTTGGGCTAGTGAGAGTTTCCGCCATATTTCTTATTTACATTAAATGTTCAGTCATTTAGCAGACGCTCTTATCCAGAGTGACTTAGAGGAGCAATTAGGGTTAAGTGCCTTGCTCAAGGGCACATCGACA